ATTAGAAATGAGTTATTAAAAGTATTATGTTTAGAATTGTGTTGAAAAAAATCTGCTCTACATTAAATAGAAATTGGGGAAAAAACTAAACAGGGGAGCTAATAATTCTGACTTTAACTGTGTGCCGCTTAGGAAAAATGACAGTCAACTTGCTCTTTGATTGTCGTAGTGAAATGAAGTCTTGGGTGGCTTTTATTTTTTAAGTTTTAATGAAAACAAAACGGGAGTAATGGTTTTTGAAGGTACCACTTGGACTCCTCTATTCAATTTGGGTTCGTAAAGCTTAGCATATTAAGCCTACAGTCATAAATTTAGGGTTAAAAAACACAGATTTTAAATTTGACAATCAGACTACAGCGGTAGTAAAATCTAGCTTTTTTACATTAAGACAACTAGCAAAAATAAAGCAATATATACCAAAACAACAGTTCAAGACAACAGTGATCCATGCTTTTATGACCAGTCTGTTAGATGACTGTCATGCACTGTAAGTGGGGAGTAGCAGGCCAGCCGTTTTGCAAATGATGTAAAATACTGCAGCACGACTGTTAACTGGCTGCTCACAAATATGACCACATTTCCACGGTGTTAGCTTCACTTCTTTGGTTGCTAGTTCATTTTAGAATACAGTTTAAGATTATTTTATTTGTTTTTAAATATGGGCGAGGCAGTGGCTGTCGCCTCACAGCAAGATGGTCGCTGGTTCAAACCTCGGCTCAGTTGGCGTTTCTGTGTGGAGTTGCATGTTCTCCCTGCCTTCGTGTGGGTTTTTTCTGGGTGCTCCGGTTTCCCCCACAGTCCAAAGACATGTGGTACAGGTGAATTGGGTAGGCTAAATTGTCTGTAGTGTATGAGTGTGTGTGTGAATGTGTGTGTGGATGTTACCAAGAGATGGGTTGCGGCTGGAAGGGTATCTGCTGCGTAAAAACTTGCTGGATAAGTTGGCGGTTCATTCCGCTGTGGTGACCCCGGATTAATAATGGGACTAAGCCGACAAGAAAATGAATGAATAAATAAATGAATGTTTTTAAATCTCTAAATGTTCTTGCCCCACCTTATATCTCTGAGCTGATACACCCCTATAAACCCACTCATTCTCTCAGGTCAGCTGACCAGCTTCTCCTGATTGTGCCAAAAACAAAGCGTAAGCTTAGAGGGGATCGTGCTTTCGCTGTGGTAGGTCCTATAGACTTTGGAATGATTTGCCGCTGCACATTAGACATGCCTTTTCTGTGTTCTCATTTAAATCAGCTCTTAAAACTTTTTTTTCGTTGCCATTTAACACCTGATCCTAATACCTTTTAATTTATGTGGCGTTTAGCTATATTTTATCTTATATTTTATGTATTTTAAGGACTATTATGCTTAATTTGTTGGCTAATTTCTGTACAGCACTTTGGCTCACTTCTATGTTTGTAAAGTTAAACTTGACTTGACTTTAAAAAAACTATTATGTTTTTAAAAAGTGAAACAAAAAAATCCTGCTCTCTGATTAACCAACACTTTATATTTGATATTTAAAAAATAAACAATGAATTTTACAAGAGGGCTAATAATACAAGCATACAAACACTCTATTAATTGTGTATTGTTCTAGCATTTTCATATCATATGTTATATAATTATAAGCAATTACTTATTTAAACATACATACAGGCTTTATATGGGCTACATATCAAACGTTTTATTTATAATTTTTTTCACACATTCTCGACTCTTGCAACATCATCAGTTGGGTTGGGTTGGGAACGAGGTCAAGGGAAGTGCATGTGTCTGTCTGTGTGTTGGTGCGCTACGGGTGTTTCAGTACATTTGCAGATGTTTGGTTCTGTTATGAAGGGACGTGTGTGCCTGCCTGTCTGTCAGCCACACTGCAATGCTGCATAGTGCGTTTTCATTGCCAACCATTCCTCCCTCACTTAAAGAGAGACAAATTACACCCTCCCTCTGTCCCTCCAGACTAATTCTCTCTCTCCTCTCACATAAACATTCTCATGCATTTAGTTAGCCATCTAAATGAGAATGTGCAACAGATTTTTGCAGATAATAATTGTCATACATTGCACTATTGGATGTTGAATGCTTGACTCTGATTGGCTCATGAACATTTTCATGGAACCTAACAGTTAAAGTATTTCCAGGCAGGTCTTGACCTCATTAAAGTTTCATATCACAACATGGATTTCTTAAAGGTTTTTAACAGCCAACGAGAGTAAAAATATACAGTATATCAAAACAAATGAAACATAAAGGCAGCATAATTGACTCCAGCCTGTTAAATCATAACAATCTAAGTTGTCTGAGGATTGAATAAGCATACGAATTTCTATTACAAGATAAAACAAACATTATTTGATTTATTTAAAGATCTATTTTCCAACTGGGCATGTCCCAAAAGTTCCCAAAGGGATGTCAGATTTAGCTGTCTTCTGAGGACACGCTATGGCTGATTAAAAACAAACTCACACACTCAGGAGAAAATATGCATGCAGTGAGAGGTGTGGAAACAGCAAACCATGGTGCTGACAAGTTGAGTTTTATTTAAACCTCATTCTGACGTATAAGTGCTGCTGTCTGAGTGTAATTCAAGAGCAGCAACAGTGTGTGTTTGTGTTTGTGTGTGTGTGTGCGTGTTTCTGTTAGTGATTGTCTGCGTGCATACAAATATTTATACAGAGTTCGACAGACTGAACCAAGAAATAGTTTAGATGTTAAGGACATTTTGTATTACTTAATGTGTACCTGTGTTGTAAATCTGAGGGGTACACATTGTTATTGACAATTTATATTAAAATAAAAATATCCATTTTAAAAATTAAATAAATAAAAATCTTTCAGACAAAGTGAGTATTTCTGCCATCTAGTGGCTCTCAAATGGCATTATTCTAGGGCTCTTCAGATTCACAGCTAATCCCATTCTTCCACTTGTTGTAACTGAACACAATTTCTCATTTGAATAAGAGGAAGTGAAAATTAGATTTGAGGGCTTACAAAGGTCAGTTCGGTTTGGGCTTCCTTTGTAATGCATTTATTTGCATGATTCCTTGTAATTTTGCAATTTATGTTCAGATGTTTATTTCACACGCATTCTGTGTGCCTTATTACTATGCATGCATGGATTTTAAACATTTATGCATATAAAACACTTGTATTAAACTTGTATTTTAAATTTAATGTGTACATTTTAGATGAATTTAATTGATTAGAAATATCAAAGAATATTTTTATGAGGATTTCAAATAAACTGTTCTTTTTAACTTTTTGTTCTTTACAGTATAATGGGAAAACATTATACAAAACATTAAGTAGCACAACTATTTTCAATATTTAATGATAATAATAATTTTAATAATAGGGTAGCGCAGTGGGTTCGAACCCCAGCTGGGTCAGTTGGCATTTCAGTGTGAATTGAGTAAACTAAATTGTCCGTAGTGTATGTGTGTAAGAGTGTGTGGGTGTTTCCTGGTGTTGGTTTGCAGCTGGAAGGGTATCCGCTGCGTACAACATATGCTGGATAAGTTGGTGGTTCATTCCGCTGTGGTGACCCTGGATTAATAAAGGGACTAAGCCGAAAAGAAAATAAACTGATGATTTTAAATCATAATTTTAATGTAATTACTAATTAATTACAAAACAATTTTAACAAATAAATGCAGCATTAGTTAGACAAAAAATGAAAGGTTCAAGACAATTAACTGTAAAAAGTATATGCTTAAGTAAATATTTGTAAAATTGTATGTTTGTGTCTGTGTGTTCTTATTTGTTCATACCAGTGGAGACTAGCTCATGGTGTACGAAATAGACTGCAGCTCTGCACAAGAAGTCTGGCCAGAGGAGAAATGGTTGTGCCCAACTGAGCCTCGTTCTCTCAAAGTTTTTTTTTCCCTTCATTTTCCTCAATTGGTGAAGTTTTATTCCCCGTCACTGTTACCACTGGCTTGCTTGGTTTGGGACTTGTGGAGCTGTGCATCGATGGATTTGCTGTTCAGTGTTTGGACTTTCAGCAGTGAAAATTAAATTAAACTGAACTAAAAAAGAACTAAACTGAGCTCTAAAAACTGGACTGTTTCAATTTACTAGAACTTCTATGTTAAGCTGCATGGACTCAATCTACATTGTAAAAGCGCTATATAAATAAAGATGATTTGAAAAAAGTTATTTTGAAAATATTTGTAAAAACCATGTACAGTATGTTTTCTACAAGGTGCAGAGTTTAAGGGAATACAATATACATTTCATATGATAAGTTTAAGGACAGACCCCACATATGTGAAAGAAAGAAACAATAATTTGTTCTCATACAATGTTTTGTTGGCAATTCCTACAAATACACCTCCTGGTATTGTGGTCCAGGGTCACATGTGCATATTTACTCCTTATGCCAGTTATTGGTGTTATCTCATAAGATTGCAACTTAAAGTACTGACAAAATAAATAAATACCCTCTGCTCATTAGATCAATAAAGCGAGAAGCATTTTAATACATGTAGACAGAAACGTTTTACTGAAGAAGCATTCCAGATGAACACCTCCACAAACACAGCCTCTATTGTGAAAGGCATTTGGCAAGGTTTTATTGCACAGAACCTCTGATCCAGCAGTGTGACTCACCCTTTATGCACAAAGTCCAACTGATTAGTCCAGAGCTGTCACATTCATTCAATGCATCTGCCTTGTGTTGCTGACAAAACATAAAGTGTATTTCCTATTGTTCACCCTCTCTCTCTCTGCCTCTCTCTAAAGAAAACACCCAAAACAAACTCTCTTTTTTACTTTAAAACTTTGCTTGTTTAAAAAAAACGATTAGCATTATTCAATAAAACAAGTGAAGCTTAGATGTATCAGTTGTAAAAGGGCGGGGGAGTGTGGGACTGACTCACCTGTGATATGTTGAATTTGTGCAGTTTGTTACGTTAGTCCAGCTTGTGCTGCTCTAGTGGGCGTTGCTGGTCCTTTTATATCCCTTAACTCTGCGATAGATTTTTCTCTCGCACACAAACGCACGTTTGAGGCAAGCATCTTTCATCAAATGTAAGTAATAATACACCATTTAAGCTACGATATATACTCAAAATTAAACAGGCGGAACCGCGTAGGAAGAAACACCGTCTTTGCTACTTCCGCTTTTGTCTGAAGATGTTATTCCCTGCTCGCAAGGGAAATGTTTACACCGACATTTTATTACAGGAGTTGGTGTAAAAGTGACATTGTATTATTAACGGACAGCAGAGTAAATTGATATTCGATATGCTAATTAGTATTGACATTACGTCACTTATTGAAAAACTTTAAATAAGCAATTCGCGCAAATAGTACTAATACATTTCATTGAACATGTGCACAGACATCACCTATATACTATAGAACTGCAGGATATGTTTGTATACTAATAGCTTCGACTTTTGAAAAGCTATTAGTTTTTATTCATTCATTCATTTTCCTTCGGTTTAGTCCCTTTATTTATCAGGGGTCGCCACAGTGGAATGAACCGTCAACTTATCCAGCATATGTTTTACACAGCGGATGTCCTTCCAGCTGCAACCGAGTACTGGGAAACTATCAGTAATTGGTTACTATAGTTAAAGTTACTAATAGCTCTAATAAAGTTATATTAACTAACCTTAACTTTTTTGACCAGTGTTAGAAAGAAACTTGAATTGAACTGAATAAAGTACAATATTGAATTAACGATGGCCATATGTCCTTTGTTTTAATTTTCATCAGCGTGATCATCATCATCTTCAGTGATGGAGGGAGTCTCTCGTGCTAACAGTCTCTTTGCTCTGGATCTCTATCGGGCTCTGAGCGCCAGCAGTGCTGAGGGAAACATCTTCTTTTCTCCACTGAGCATCAGTGCAGCGCTCAGCATGGTCTACTTGGGGGCCCGAGGAGACACTGCTGGAGAAATGGAGAAGGTATGAGATAAGCAAGAATTGTGTGGTGTGTTTTTTTTTTTTTTTACTGATACTGAATCACAAAATATCTAAAACAAATCTTACTTGAAAACAAAACCACAACCCCAAACAAGGAGAGCAGGCACTTGTTTGAAAATGGGGTGAGGCTCGGATGTCAAAAGAGTAAACATTTGCTCATAGTGTGAGCTGAGAGATGCATTTATAACGTTCAAACAAAAGCACACAGGTATGTACTGCTCACCTTTTGAACTTGTTTATTTAAGCAAGATTTAAGGAAATACCTGTCCTTCTCATTGGTCCTAACAATTCTTGCGAAGCTAAATCAATACTGTTTTTTAAGTTCATTATTATTTTATGATTAAGAAAATATAAATTTAACCAAAAAATATAGACTGTGATAATGACCTGAAGAGTCACAAATCACATCAGAATATAATCACAGGTGAAATTGGTGTCCAAAAATGAGATAAAAATTGCATAATCAAAGACCAAAGAAAAAATGTACAGATACAAACCGAACATAATTTATTTGCATATTTTTGTACAGATACAAACCGAACATAATTTATTTGCATATTTTTGTACAGATACAAACCGAACATAATTTATTTGCATATTTTTGTAAGTAAGTCAAGATGAGCTACCTCAGTTTTATGGTCATATGTCCACTGCACTTAAACAGGAAATATAAATCAGTAAACCTATACTAACGCCACTAAGTTCATGAAGTTCATGGACTATTGTAAAGCGGCAAAATGACGTTTTTGGTAGGTACTATACATGGAGCAACTGTAGTTACATATTAACTCCATATATACTATGGTCCATTTTTAATGTTCATGTTTCATAAACACCCTATCGTCTAATATATGTTACTATAAGCATATTGACTGCTCCTTTTCTCTGTTTATCTCTGTAATTCTGCATTGACACAATTTGCATTGTATAAACTAACATGCTATAGAAATAGATGATTTGACTCATCAGTGATATGTTTTGTTGTTTTGTCTTTTCAGACTAAATTTGTTGCATATTGTTAGACTGAAATTCAGTTCAGTGTTAGTGATTGCAAATGATTTAGCTTTTAACAAGTAACTAGAGAAAGCAGAACTTTTCATTGGCAAAAGAGCGGACACAGATTGTGATACAGCCAGTGAGAAACTGATTCAACAGTGAGTCAGTGCTGGAATACTGTAAACAAATGATTACAGCTGCACATACCTCTCTCTTCCTCCCTCCCACTCTTTCTCCCTCTCACTCTTTCACCAGCAGTTCCAAAATCTGAAATGGTCCTGAAAATCCAGGTTTTAGCCAACTTGTTGCCTACTTTGAGTATGGTGCCATGCTATGTTATAATTTCAGACACACCTAGATGATGTATATAAATGCTTGGCAACGGACTTCAGACCTGAATGACAGTTAGATAAAATCCTTGTTTAATTCACTCCTTGCAATAAATGATTGTGCACACCCATGGCTTATTATTTAAGACAGGCGTGTCCAAACTACGGCCCGCGGGCCATCTGCGGCCCGCAATCAGTTTTGTGGCGGCCCGCGAGGCTTTTTATAAATATCAATAGAATCTGGCCCGCTATACAAAAATGAACGTAATTCAATAAATAACCACCGGGTGTCGCTATTACATGCATTCAATTAAGCAGCAGTTCTTGTTATGGTCTATCTATCTATCTATCTATCTATCTATCTATCTATCTATCTATCTGTCTGTCTGTCTGTCTGTCTGTCTGTCTGTCTGTCTGTCTGTCTGTCTATATACACACACTTGAAGTCTAAATTATTAGCCCCTCTTTGATTTATTTCTTCTTTTTCAAATATTTCCCAAATGATGTTTAACAGAGCAAGGACACTTTCACAGTATGTCTGATAATATTTTTTCTTCTGGAGAAAGACTTATTTGTTGTATTTCGGCTAGAATAAAAGTGGTTTTAATTTTTTATGAACCATTTAAGGTCAAAATTATAAGCCCCTTAAGTCTTCAGAACAAACCATTGTAATAAAATAACTTGCCTAATTACCTTAACTTGACTAGTTAACTTGATTAACCTAGTTAAGCATTTAAATGTCACTTTAAGCTGTATAGAAGTTTCTTAAAAATATCTAGTCAAATATTATTTACTGTCATCATGGCAAAGATAAAATAAATCAGTTATTAGAAATGAGTTACTAAAACTAATATGTGTAGAAATGTGTGGAAAAAAATCTTCTCTCCGTTAAACAGAAATTGGGGAAAAAATAAACGGGGGCTAACAATTTAGGGGGGCTAACCATTCTGACTTCAACTATATATATATATATATATATATATATATATATATATATATATATATATATATATATATATATATATATATATATATACATATACATATATATATATATGCGTGTCTGTGTGATGCATGTAAAATTTGGCCCGCGACAACGTTGTTTTTTTTGCATCTGGCCCTCGGCCTAAAAAGTTTGGACACCCCTGATTTAAGACCATGGCCATCTTTTTATATTTTTAAATGATTTGCAAAGCCTCTCCTGTTAACAAATAAATACAGTATAATATGTGTACTCAACTAGAATAACCTCTCTTGCTCTGTGCAGGTCTTGTCCTTCAGTTCTGTGTCTGATGTTCACTCTCATTTTGAGAGTCTCATCTCATCTATCAACAGTCCATCAGCCTCCTACATCCTCAGACTGGCCAACCGCCTCTATGGAGAGAAAACCTTCAGCTTCTTACCTGTGAGTCCATCTGACTTTAAGAGTGTCTACATTTGTGTGCAGCCAAATAATCTGTTTTAATTAGATTGAAGGTTCAGTCGAATTTAAAAACGTTCATGTGAACGTCTTAATCAAACCAATTAAGCTTGATCCTATGAAATTTTGATAAAACTAGAAGGAGTGGTTATTCCTTTTATAATCTGATCCAACAGCAATATATATATATATATATATATATATATATATATATATATAATGTAAATGCTTGACTACTTTCTCAGTCATGTTCAGAAGTATCTGGAACAAATGCACAGTACAATATTGACAGCATTAGCCTGTACATATTTTGATTAATGTATGATAAAACGTGTAAATCTGCTGTCTTTATATTTTCGTTGGGCTTCTTACTGAAGCACTTTATTTTAGAAATGCACTTTAACATAGTATAAGTTTAAATTAGCCCTATAAATAATACAATTAAAATAAAATGAGTACCGCAGAATTAAAATATCAGAAGTTATAATTAAGAAATTAAACATTCAAGCTTATAAATGGTATATATATATTAAATATAGCCTGCTCAAAAAAATACAAAAAATATTTTAAAATTTCTTATGTAATATACGTTGAACCTAAACTTTCTTACACTGAATATTTTGAATCAGAATGTATAGATCAAATCCATATAAATGGATATTTAAATCATTCATACATTCATTTTCTTTTCGGCTTAGTCCCTTTATTAATCAGGGGTCGCCACAGCGAAATGAACCGCCAACTTATCCAGCATATGTTTTAAGCAGCAGATGCCCTTCCAGCTGCAACCCATCACTAGGAAACATCCATACACACTCATTCACACACATACACTATGGACAATTTAGCTTATGCAATTCACCTGTAACTCCACACAGAAATGCCAACTGACCCAGCCGGGGCTCGTAACTTCTTACTGTGAGGCGATTGTGCTACCCACTGCGCCCTATATTTCAATCAGATAACTGATTAGAGTACATGTTAACAGATCTGCGATTCAATTTAATCAGATTGATGAAAACTGGTGCATGTAAACATAACCAAACAAAACATTTTGTCTTTCTTCACACTTGTTGCCTGAACATGTTGTCATGTGTCCTGCAGGAATATTTGAGCTCCTCTCTGAATCTGTATCACGCTGACCTTCAGGCTGTGGACTTCATTGGAGCATCTGAGCAGTCAAGACAGCTCATTAACAAATGGGTGGAGGAGCAGACAGAGAGTAAGAAGATCATTTTCATCAGTTTCTCATGGAATATCTTTTTAATAAAGCCTCAGATGTAAAGTCAGAAACTTGTGTTTTCCAGATAAAATCAGAGATCTTCTCAAGCCGGGTATGGTGACTGGAATGACCCGACTCGCTCTAGTTAATGCCATCTACTTCAAAGGGAACTGGCTGCAGAGATTTAATGCTCAAGACACCAAAGAAATGCCATTTAAAATAAACCAGGTCTAACCCTGATCTGTTTTCAAAATACAGTACACCTGCAGCAACATGTCTTTGAGATTATGTGTACTACATTGAAAGGCACATGTTCTCTTCCTGGTCACTCACTAACTGGTATGCGTGTCTGTCCTCCTTCAGAAAGAGAACAGACCAGTACAAATGATGTACCAGAAGAAAAAGTTCCCATTCAACTACATCTATGACCACCGTGTGCAAGTGCTGGAGCTGCCATATGTAAAGGAAGAACTCAGCATGTTGATTCTTCTTCCCGAGGAAACTCAGGATGGATCCGATCCTCTTCTGAAGGTTAGCAAACAGTTTATTTCTTGAACAACTACTGGTAGTCTTAATCACGCTCTCAAGGTATTAATGCTTGTGTGTTTGACAGCTGGAGAGCGAGTTGACCATTGACAAGCTGCACGAATGGACCAACAGAAACAACATGGACACCCAGACAGATATCATAGTCCATTTGCCAAGGTTCAAACTGGAGATTGAGAGTTCCTTGGTAGAAATATTGATGGGGATGGGGATGAGCTCTGTGTTCCAGGAAGGAAAGGCCGATCTGACAGGAATGACTGGTCACGGTGGCCTCTTCCTTTCGGCAGTCGCCCACAAAGCCTTTGTGGATGTAAATGAAGAAGGCACAGAGGCAGCAGCCGCAACGGCAGCCATTGTGGCCTTCTGTATGTTGCGAGAGGAGCACTTCATGGCTGACCATCCCTTCTTGTTTTACATCAGGCACAACCCAACCAACAGCATCCTGTTCTTCGGCAGATTCAGGGGCCCATCTTAAATATGTGATGCGTACCTGCTTGACAGCTAAATAAATATAACACTATACTTAAAGGTGTCAGTAATGCACATTTTGTTTTCTTTGTTTTCTTCAAAAATTCATGGTTTAAATGTAGTTAAATACATTAATGTTTAGCAAAACAAAATATGGAACATTTATGACACACATGTAATATTATAATAATAATAATCAATAATAAAAAAATAATATAGTCGATTTAAGTTTAAAGTCAGTGTCACATCACAATGCTATTAGCCACAATATGCTTCTCATTTGAGATGCTTTCCAAAAACCTTTGATATGTAAACAATATGAACGAGGGAAAGACTTGTTCCCTTGATCCTCTATCAGGCAATATGACATTTTAAGGCAGCATTTGTGCACAACCGCACCTCATAAAACTGATTTCATACTTCTGAGACAGCATAACAATTCACCCATGTTCAACAACATAGAGCTTTTATGATAACTAAGGGAATATTTGCTTACTAGAACACAAGTTACCTGCTAGGAATGCCATAAAAAGTGGAAACGTTGGTCAAAAATAAACATTTACACACACAATTACACCCAATTGGCACTTCCAGATGGCATATTTATTATTTAGCTCAACTGTCATAAAACTCACTAGATTGTGTGGTGTTGAAGGCAGTGAAGAACACATCTATGCTGCCATCGAGATTCAATCAAAAAGTACCTCCCGAAACCGAATGTGGATTTACATGAGCCTTGAAGCCTTCCCTAGAATGCTACCTCCGAAGGCAGTATTTTAATGCGTTTGGTTTCATTCTTAAAGAAGAGTTGCAATGTTTAGGATTTAAAGAATTTAACATTAAGTGAAATACTACAATGATCTAAAAACAAACTTAAATACAGTGTTTGTCATTATACATCTGTGAAGTTGAATTGTTACCCAACATAAAACCAATGAAAGAAGAAAGGATTAAAATAAAATATGTTATCTTACACACAGTACAATATGCCTATATGGGGAAACCACCTGTAACGACTGGCATTTATTGTAGGAAAAACAAGTAGGCCCACGTCAGTGGTTACAGTTCTTCAAAATATCTTCAAAAAAACAAAACAAAATCTCAAATTGGCTTGGAACAAATGTAAGTAAATGATGACAGATTTAAACATTTGAGTGATCTACACCTTTGAATTGTGAAAGTAGATTCATCACATCTGAAAGTCAGCCATGAAAATAGTTTGGTCAGATGCCATGCTTCAGTGTGGTGTGAGATAAGGTATAAAAATGACAGAAGCGCATTCGAAGTATGCTGATGTAAATTGCTCGTTTTGTGGCTTTGTAGAGGAAACAGCTCCCCGTTTGTTTTTGAATGCAGTGTAATAAACAGATTTGGGTTGAATTAAGCTCATGTGACCCACAGGTAAAGTATCTGCAAACATTTTTTGCTATTTCTGCGTAGAAATTTTGTACAAAAATACAATTCGTTTATAGGCAAATACAGATCCTCTTAGATCCTCTTGTTTGATAAACAAAGCAAGTCTCTCATCTATATCTAAAGGACAAAAAATACTTCGCAAACTGAATTGTAAATACATCATATAAACATTTCCATATTAGTTATAAATACTTCTGAAATCAGTATAAAAACTGCAATGTGAACCCTAATAAGTTGAGACTACTCAAATGATTTGAGGAAAGGCATTCCCTCAGTTCATGTGAGCAAGGGGAAATCGACAACTCAATTAACTGAGCTGGCCAAATGTGGTCTCTTCATTGAATTAACTTAAATGTTTAAGAACAGATAACTTAAAATGGCTAATAGACTAAACTTCCACATTTTTCAGCTTTTATATTCTTTACTTAATCCCAGGACTGTTTGATATTTAGCCGCACCATGTTGGTGTTTTGTAACATCTAATTTTTACGAGGTGAGTTGTTAACCCAACACTCAACCTTCAACCTGAGAGACCAGGACATACACACATACACAATGGACAATTTAGCTTACCAAGTTGACCTATACCGCATGTCTTTGGACTTGTGGGGGAAACCAGAGCACCCGGAGGAAACCCACGTGAACACGAGGAGGACAAGCAAACTGACCGGGGACTCGAATTAGCAAACTTCTTGCTGTGAGGCCACAGCACTACCCACTGTGTCACAACTGCATGTATATCAATTAAGAAAAATGTAAATAAGCATTTAAATATCTACTTACTAATTCAACTTTTCTCTTGCGTCAGATGGGTTTAGGTAGTGCCTCTGTCTTGCTGTGCTTCAGTAAAATTCTACTTCACAAGCAAAATTACCACCTTGTGTCATAGAACATATATCAACCAATCAGCGCGGTTGTCAAGGCAGAATTTCAAGCGCAACCAATCAGTTTGAACAGACATGGTGAATCATTTAAAGAAATTAAAATATTATTATTATTATTATACTATATAATATACTATATAATTATTATACTATTATTATTATTACTATATTATTATTATATTATATTAACTTAATATCTTTAGTAATGACGACAGTGGGGTTTACAGTGTAAATAATTATATATTCACGCACATTTACATAAGTAAACAAATAGACTCAATGATGAGCAAAAACATCTGTCCACACAGATTCTGTTTTGGTAACTTTTGTTCTTACAAATGTTATTTTCTATCATGAAAATCCCAAGCTTTTATCTTTTGAATACATGGTTAATGGTGGGACAGAAGGTAGTGCTGTTGCCTCACAGCAATAAGATCACTGGTTTGAGCCTCGGCTGGGTCAGTTGGCGTTTCAGTGTGGAGTTTGCATGTTCTCCCTGGGTTCGCGTGGGTTTCCTCTGGGTGCTCCGGTTTCCCCCAAAGTCCAAAGACGTGCGGTACAGGTGAATTGGGTAAGCTAAATTGTCCGTACTGAATGAGTGTGAATGTGTATGGATGTTTCCCAGAGATGGGTTGCGGCTGGAAGGGCATCCACTGCATAAAAACGTGCTGGATAAGTTGGTGGTTCATTCTGCTGTGGTGACCCCGGGTTAATAAAGGGACCAAGCCGAAATGAAAATGAATGAATGAATACATGGTTACTTTTTCTATATCGAATGCAAAATCCTTTATCATAAGCACAATGGCTCAAATTTTCTTTAATATTGTTTCTTTCTAAATTTGTGCATTTCACTCTTTTTGTCAATATGTCAGCTTGAATCATTTCTAAATTTTCTTTTTCATCTTCTTTGTATTACATTATAGGGCAAAGCAGTGGGGCAGTAGGTAGTGCTGCCGCCTCACAGCAAGAAGGTCGCTGGTTCGTGCCTCGGCTGGGTCAGTTGGCATTTCTGTGTGGAGTTTGCATGTTCTCCCTGCATTCTCGTGGGTTTCCTCCGGGTGCTCCAGTTTCCCCCACAGTCCCAAAGACATGCGGTACAGGTGAATTGGGTAGGCTAAATTGCCCATAGTGTATGAGTGTAAAGGGATATTTCCCAGAGATGGGTTGCGGCTGGAAGTTAGCGGTTCATTCCGCTGTGGCGACCTCAGATTAATAAAGGGACTAAGCCTAAAAGAAAATGAATGAATGTATTACATTATTACGCTTCTAATCTGCATGTTCCTGTAAAGGATTTGGCAGTTAATAAAAGAGCACTGTTGCCGCTTTCCTTACGTGGTCATGATGAAGCAAAACAAGTGTTCAAGTGTATTTGGACCATTTTTGGACCTATGATGACCAATGGTCTCGATGACTCTTAGGGCGGTGCCTCGACAACAGAATAAACCAATTGCCAACCTACGTCACACATGATGTCATACGGGTCCTCGGTTGCAAAAAAAACAGTAAACAATAGTAAACATGTCGTGTTGTGCGGTAACCTCGTTTTTTAGCTCTACATAGTGTTGAATCTGGTAATCATGGAACATTATTTCTTGCACATGACCACACAGAACAACATTGTTGGCATCCAGACTTGTAGGCCTTTAACTTCTCTCTTGTAAAATTACTTGGAGCTTCAATGAGATTGTATATTTTGGGTTGAATGCTTGGTCATTTCGTCTTATCCAATATTCATAGGGAGGGTGCTCGCAAATGGACCTGTCAGATGAACGCCACTTACTTTAACGTTAATCTTGCCATTACTGTGCTTATCACTGGGTGACGAGCTGTTATAATACGCTGAAAGCATATTGTAAATAATATATATAATATGTAATCAATATACTTATCTCTAAGACAACAACAAACTCTATGCCGCATCCAATGTCATTCACTCGCTGTAAATACAAGCTCTCCCGGGGCCTGTTTCAGTAAGGAGGTTCAAACAACTCAGAGTTTAAACTTGAACTCCGAGTTGATTTACCGAGAGATTAAAAACTCAGAGTTTTCGGTTTCAGAACAGCTGATCTGAGTTGGGTCAATCAACTTCGAGTAGACCAACTCAGAGTTAAGCGCGCACACCGTGACTTTAAAAAGGCATTATCAATGGAGCGCAGACATTACGAGTGACTATGGCAATATGTTATAAAAGAGATCACCATTTCTTTCTCCAGCTGAACTTGATGTTCTCATGCAAAGTTATAGCAAATATGAGTGTATATATTTGAAAAGAAGCAACCATCAGTGAAGAAGAGACAGTTAGCGTGGGAAAACAGCTGCTCAAGTTAATGCCTAATTTCACTTTTTAAGTATTTAAATATTTAAGTATAATAAAATAAGTAATGTTATTTGTGACGTTTATATTTTTTTTTCTAAACTTTTTTATACATTTATTAGTTTTAAATGATTTAACAGTGCACTTGTGTGTCTGCCTTTTTTATTGATCAAGTGATAGAGGTTAATATAACATTTAGAAGGTAAGCAGTACTAAAAATAATTTTTAGAAAGAATAATAATCCCATTAATCTAGTTACAGTGCATGTCGAAGGTGAATTTAATTTAATTATTAAAAAAGGATAAGCCATTCTAGTACAGTTCTTCTGTGTGTGACAAAAATGTAGGCAATATCTATTTTCCATCCAAATATATTACATAAATTTATGTGCAAAACTGGAATATTGCATAGAAGATGCGAATAAAATTCCATCCAACGAGTCAAAGAGAAAAAAATGGTCACTTCCTGATTAAACTGGCACCAAATATCAACAGTAAAAACAGAATTTACTGTGGTAGAAGAAGCTGCGTCAATTAATTCTTTATTTAGCCTAATTAATGTACTTGCGCCTCGATGTCAGAAGACAATGCTGAAACACAATGAACACATGGGGGGCGTCTGAAGCCATGAGACGCGGAGACTCTTGACACGCACCAGACGTTCGGAGGTAATTAATAATATACACTAATACTGAAACAGTAAAGGCATTTTAGAATGACTAAAACAATATTTAAGACAAGTTATAGTGTGCTCAGCCGTTTGTCCATTTACACACATTTTCATTATCATATGATCATGATCTTTTTTTTAATGTACATACTGTAATTTGTTCAGTAAAAGTGTTTCCATCGTAGTTTATGCGCACATTTTCTATCGAATAAAAGTTTATCCTACTCAGTTATGCGCGTTTTTTATACATATTTTAAAAAGTTATGTGCATCATGACGTTTCTATCAATCGTTTTTATGCACGTATCCAAAATGAGCATTAAAATAGGTGGGTGGAAACGTAAGGCTAAGGCGAGAAATACCGCTTCATCTTTAAAAAAAAAGGGGAGGAGACAGACAGAAACTCTGAGTTTAGAGAATAAAACCTGCTTTTGACCAGGTTAGATTCACAGAGTAAGTTACCACAGTAACTGACTCTGAGTTAAAGTTACCTCTCTTTCAGAAACAGGCTTGACTTACCCTGCTTTCTCGAGTTTAACAAACCTGCCGTTTTGAAACGGAAAACCCAGAGTTTCTCTCATTTCAGGGTTAAAATACTCTGAGTTTTCAGTTAACCTCCTTTCTGAAACAGGCCCCCGGTTTATTTCTACCACCTCCCTGCGCGCGCCTCCAGAATGTTTACAAACATGATGATGGGCTATACGCACGTGACGCATTTCCGGTGAAATGTAAGACCGCGGGCCAATTTCCGCCGATCGTACAGAAAGAACTGTGCAACAGGAACGCTTCTTATCAAAACAAGGAACTTTACGAGTAGTTGACTTAATGCTTTATGCCTTCATAGCACCCATATATATGTTTACCTAAAATACATAAATATGACATGTAAACGTTTAAGAGTGTCATTTCAAAGACGTCAGGACAGTACTTCTAGCTACCACTGCTGTGTTCCGCAATGTACAGCGTCAGCGAAATTTAATTCTTACCTCAGTTTCCACACGTTTCCAAAAGACACCGACTTGCAGGAGAGGTGGGTTGTTAATATTCGACGTGACAACTTTACAGTAACGCAAAAGACAAGAGTGTGTAGCCGACATTTCGAGTCGAGCGACCTGATCGAGCCTCGAGCGCCAACCGGACGCAGACATTTGAAGAAAGGAGCTGTCCCGGTGCTGTTTCAATGGAACAACTTTGCAGTTTCAGCCGCACGACCTGGAGTTTGGGAGAGGATAAAGCGACCAAACACAGACCTAACGTTAGATGACCCATCTGTGGATGTAAGTGTGAACTATTCTGACCATGACTACGTCTCCACTGCCGAGTCTGATGCCCTGGATTTGTCCCTGGACCACACGGATCTACGTGTGGAAATTGCGAATCTGCGAAAACAGATTGAGGAGATTTCCCTCAGCAACAAGTTTTGCTTGGAGAGATTCGCTGCATCCGATGATGACATTAGGTTTTACACGAGGTAAGCTGACAATATCAACAGTGTCTGTCTCTAAATCTAAAATCATAGTGCTGTCAACCGCAAATAGCTGTACACTGTGCTTTTAAAAATGTAAAGTAAACAAACTCAAAAGTATCTCTTTCTAGTCCAAATTGTGATGTGTAGTACAGATTATAAAATACCTTTTAAACACTTTTCATTCTTTGTTCTTATATGTTATTGTGTTAAAGGGGTAGTTCACCTAAAACGGAAAATGTAATTTACTCTCCCTTCATTTGTTTAAACAAATTTCTATTTTATCTTAAACACACACACACACACACACACACACACACACGTGTGTGTGTGTGTGTGTGTGTGTGTGTGTGTGTGTGTGTGTGTACAAATAAGTAAATAAATAAATATATACATATACACACGTGTGTATACTGAAAATTAAATGAATGATGACAGTAAAGAATATTTTACTAGATTTTTTTTAAATACAAGCATTCAGATTCAAAGTACGATTCAAAGGCTTAATTAGGGTATTTAGGCGGTTCATTGTATAACAATAGTTTCTTCTGCAGACATTCAAAAAATATATTGCTTAAGGGGGCTAACAATATTGACCTTAAAATGGGTTTCAAAATATTTAATCCTGCTTTTATTCTAGCCAAAATAAAACAAATAAGACTTTCTCCAAAAGAAAAAATATTAGAGGAAATACTGTTAAAATTCTTTGCTCTGTTAAACATCAATTGGAAAATATTTATTTTTTAAAAATTCTCAGGAGCGCTAATAAATTTGACTTCAACTAATAATCTTTTTGAATAATTGTGATTAAAATTGATCAAAATAATCTTGATTATGATTTTCCCAAAATCGAGCATCCCTAATATATATAGATATTTTGAAAAAAGCTGGACATGTATAACCATTAACTACCATAGTATGTTTTTCCTTGGATTAAAATTAGTTAATTACAATTAAAAATGACTACTGGGATGCCAATACATCTGCAATTTAATACTTTATCAACTGATTTCACAAACTATTAAAATAAATATGTTCCACAGGTTTGCAAGTCATGGCCACCTCATGGCATTTTGGAGGCAGATAGAACCAGCAACTGGCAAGATTGTTCGAGTGTCCAGAACACAAACTGCAGCCAACCCTGATGAGGTCCCTCACACTGCCAGAGCAACGGTAAATGTATTAAATGGTATTTCACATAGATAATGCATCTTTGATTTACAATCAACTTACTGTACCAGTTATGTTTTTGTTATATAAATGGCCAATTATCTTGTTTTTCAGTCTCTTCCACCCATTGATGAGTTTTTTCTCTTTATGACATATCTGTCACTGGGTCTGATGCAGAAGGATTTGGCCCACAGATTCAGAATTCACCAATCTACTGTAAGCCGCATCATCAACACATGGGCTAACTTTCTTTATACTGTACTTGGACCTGTGGGCATTTGGCTGGACGAGGAGATGGTCAAAGCTCACATGCCGGATGTTTTTCAGCAATACTCTGACACACAGGTGATTTTGGACTGTACTGAACTGCGTTGCCAGACACAAAGCTCTCTCCTCCTTAAGAGTGAGGTATTTTCTAGCTACAAACCTCACTGTACTTTCAAAGGGTTAGTTGGAATAGCCCCTCACGGTGCTGTAACCTTCATTTCATCTCTCTATGAAGGTGCCATAAGTGATCGAGAGATTCTAAAACAGTCTGGTATTGTGTCTCTTCTAAAACCAACAATGGCAATAATGGTCGATAAGGGTTTCCTGGTAGAGGACTGTGTGCCCTGCAAGGTCCACATAGCTACCTTCTTGTCAAAGAAAGCACAACTGTCTGGGCCAGAGGTCAGGAAAACACAGTCTATTGCAAGACTAAGAGTCCATGTTGAGCGACTGATTAGAAGGGTGAAGGAGCATAAGATATTTAGCACTGTAATCCCTCTATCACTTACAGGCAGCATCAATCAAATGTACACAGTTGCCTGTCTGTTGGTCAATTACCAAAATGGACCCTTGGTTAAGGCCTGGCATGGCAATTACTAATACAGTAGATGCCTGATTAGGTAGAAATGGTTTGAATGCAATAAACTCTTAAGTGCATCTGAAGTTTTGCTTTAAATGAGCATTGTTCTCAGGCTCTTGTGTATGTTCAGGAATTTAAAAAAAAGTTATTTTCTTTGCCTTCAAAGTAAAATTAACATACATGTCTTTAACTACTTTTTAATTGCTTTTTTAGTCACAGAATTTAGCCCTTTATATTATTCACTATACATAATATTAAATATTATTCACTGAATATAATTTGAAATTAAATTGTTATAAAATGTAAAAATAGCAAAAAATATTTTATTCAGAACAGAACTATGAACAGAAACAACGAAATTGAATTGATCATTTTCTCAGCATGGAGCCTTGTTTGTTACTCGTGCATAGACAGGTATTTGGGCAGATAAGTGTAAAAAAACAAAAACAAATCACACCCAAGTTTCATGGAACCCAACACAGAATTGTCTCTGTAAATGCGTTGCATAAACATGTCATTGTGGGCACATACGACAAAGTCACACCATTCCATGCCTGTGATGAATAAATGCCCCTGTACTAAGGATGGCTTTCCTTCAGTTTACAAATCCCTTTACTCAGATTCCTGCAGTCAATGCTTTCAGCATTTGGGCATTTCATTTCCACCAACTCGAATGATGCCCTCTCAAGGGGGTCGTACTCAAGTGCATCCGGTTATGCACCAAGCCAAGGTGCATCAGGATGAATCACCAGTCCTCATGACTTCACGTTCAGGTTCTTTAGAGTGGCGTAGTCCTGAAGAGCACCTGCCTCCATGTGCAGTTCTCTCTTCATAATTGCTGTTGCTTTTGTCCCTCTAATTATCTTTTCTGCAATGTTTTCCACAACACGTGGACCTTTAGCATGGGTAATCTCGCGAAAATTAGAAGCAGTCACCCTCTCCTTCCTCAATGCATGCCACTCAGGTGTTGCACTTTGGCATCTTGTAGCTTTTCGATAAGACTGCAAAAAAGTCACAGACAATGTTTCCAGGTGAAACTGTTCCTGACTGGTTGGTACATGTCTGCAGTGAGTTGGGTTTAACCTATAGCTCTCTGCTGGTACTTTTGGGAATGGGGGTGCACCATTATGGCTGATGTGGTGGTTTTAGGTGGTGGATGCTGATAAAACAGGATCGAGCCAGCTTGTACCTTGCCAAAGACGGAGTCAACAAGTGGTTTTTCAGGAGATATATATTTATTTTGCATATACTGGGAAGAGAGTCTGCTTAGAAGTCAGCATATGCAGCTGTAGGATTGAGGGTGGATAGGACTGGCAGCTCCCCACTATAGGCCTTGCATAGCGAAGATCTGAAATATCAGGAAATCAATAATCATTTGTGTTAAATACACAGTATAGTAAACCTGTTTTCACTGGCTGTGTGCATACTTTATTCCACTTGCTGAAGTGACACTTGGTTTGGTCTTCACAACCACTATGGCATCAACCGGTCCAGGGCTTCACTCCCTATTTATTAGATAGCATTAATTGGTTATTTCAACAACAAAAAAAGTAATGTCATTACTTGCATCCATGTTGTTTCAACCCCATAAGACTATTGTAATTTAAAGAACACAAATATCCACACAATAGTTTATGGTGAGGCGTCCTAATTCAGCACTGCTCCAGAGGCACCAGCAGCTGCACAGGTACAGACACGGGATGCAGCCTTGAGACCGTCTGTCTCTACAGGTACAGGGAGGGTTTATTTCTTACCTTTTGTAAATGTTTGTAATTGAGAATGCTTCTGCAGAAGACACGTCAGTGTTTATTTTCATGTAAATTATTATTTTGTAATGTAAATATTTGAATGTTTAAGTATAATTTGGAGAGTTTATATGCATATTTATGTAGATAAATTAATAAATAGATGTTTAAATACATATGCTTGTGAGTTTTTGTTTCTCTGTCGGGGCACCACAGTACAATTTTTGCATAGGGCACCTTTTTGGCCAGCAGCGGCCCTGCATCGGCTTCTTTGCTTATCGTGGTGGCATAAACTATAGTACTCATCACAGGTGTTTTGGTTTTAATTTTCATCAGAGTGATCATAATCTACAGTGATGGCGGGAGTCTCTTGTACAAACAGTCTCTTTGCTCTAGATCTCTATTAAGCTCTGAGCACCAGCAGTGCTGAGGGAAACATCTTCTTTTCTCCACTGAGCATCAGCGCAGCGCTTCGCATGGTCTACATAGGGGCCCGAGGAGACACTGCCACAAAAATGGAGAGGGTATGTAGCAGGAAATTACAACTTAACATTGCTAATTTCTACGTTTATGTAAATCATGCCCATAGGCCGGTGTTCTGACGATCTGTGCTACCTCATCAGAATGTGCTAAAGGGAGCTCAAAATGTGTATTTTTGCATATTGGTATTTTTTGGAAACAAACACATTATTTATAGGCTTTTCCATACTTAGAATTAGTTACTTCTTACCTAAAGGGCACCTATGATGAAAAGAATATTTTGTGAGCTGTTTGGACAGAACTTTGTGTTGGTATAGTGTGTTCACAGTCATATTGGGGCAATATTAACACAACAAGTTTTTTTTATTTCCTGATGTTAAAATAGGATCCAAATCTCTTTTTATTTTGAGGCCAACCCTGACATGACATAGGAGTGAGGTTTCCAAGCCCACCAAATTGCTTGACAGCCATGTATTAACATGTCACTGTAGAGGAAAAAATCACCTTAAAACTGACAGTAGGACTGTTTATCAAAAGTGACCATGCTAAAGTAATGTCTGGATGCCCAAACTCGGTCCTGGAGGGCAGGTGACCTGCAGAGTTTAGCTTTAACTTGCTTTAACACACATGCCAGTTTTTAATATTATGCTTGATAGAGCTTGATTTGCTAATTAGAGTTAAACTCTGCAGGACACCAGCCCTCCAGCGCAGACTTTGGGCACCCCATGGTATAAACATTGGATACACAAATTATTGCAGCTAATTATGCAGTTAGCTGGACTAAATAACATAAAACACACACACACACACTTGCAGATAATTTATTTGCAGAAAATGGCAATAGGCCAACATAAAATATTCCATGGTTTAAGACCTTAAAGACTATAAGAATAACACGTTTATGTGAAATATTATGTAGATTATATTTACATATTTTTCCAGTAGGCCTATTTAAAGTCATAATATGTAAAACATGGAATATTTAATATTGACCTATTATCATTTCCTGCAAATAAGTGGTCTATGCATATAAAAATTGTTTAGTGACATTTTAAAGACATTTTTCAGTTTATAAAATAAAACAAAAATTAGAATGTTACATGAAAACATGTATTAACTAACATCTCTGAAGTAGAAATTATCCAACAAGTATGGATCAGGATTAAAAATAGGCCAACTGAAGGGAAAATAATACATGCTGGCAGGGTGACCTCTACTGTTGACTGTCTTTCATTCTCTTCCAATAGTATCTGGATGCAGCCTTCATGATGCAAGCTGAGATTGCATCACTCAGCGAGGCAATGTCCGACACAATGCGCTCAGTAGCACAAATAAATGCTGAGAGGGGATCAGTGTGCATTTTTTTACCACTGAATAACTTTTCCAGCTTGTGCTGAATCTATGACTATAATATAGTTTTCGGAAGTCGTGTCACAGGTTTAAAAGCAGATATTAGCTCAAAATTATCCTGCTATGCACAACATCAAGCCTTTTTGTCTGTTGTTTTGGTATCTGAAGGCCTGTTCGTCATTTGCAAGCGGATACTATAATATATTTCTTCAATAGCCATCAATGTTTGTTTTGTATTTAATAAATGCATAAAAAGACCTATTGTAATTTTGAATAATATGAAATATTTATCATTGTTTTTGTCAGAGAATAATAAAAAAGTTCAGTTTGCAAATCCCCTTAAGACAGAAAGACGAACTGTACAGCGGCGTAAGCAGTGTGTTTGTCATAGCAGATCTAGTAAAACTTGCAACACTGGTTTCACACAGGCGTTGACTTCCACAGCAGCTCCAATTGCTGATCGAGCTTTCGAATAAAACAGGAGAGAATTTCTGTAAACGTAAGTCATTAGGCAAACGTTAAAAAAAATGTTACGATTAAATAGCGATTAAGGAGATGGTTATAAAACAATTGATTGCTTTGTCTTTGATTTTCATCAGCGTGATCATCTTCAGTGATGGAGGGAGTGTCTCGTGCTAACAGTCTCTTCGCTCTGGATCTCTATCGGGCTCTGAGCGCCAGCAGTGCTGAGGGAAACATCTTCTTTTCTCCATTGAGCATCAGTGCAGCGCTCAGCATGGTCTACTTGGGGGCCCGAGGAGACACCGCCGCAGAAATGGAGAGGGTATGAGGAGCTGCTGACACATACCATTGGAGCTGTAACTTTCAGTTTCTTTTCTGTTTTACACGAACCAACGAACTTCATTAAATCAATGATTAAGATAGATTACTGTATCACATAATGAGAGAATGCCTGTGTCTCCAAATTACCAGTGCTACTGGCTAGGCCTATTGTAGTTATAATTTAGCAAAGGATACATTTTGGATGATGTGACGGCAGCCACAGGACAACGGCGTCAGTCTGCTCACCACACACCAGCTATAGGTGGAGTGGAGAGACAGTGACAGAGTCAATTCTGTGAATGGGTATGACTGGGAGGCCATGATGGGTAAGAGCCGAAGGAGAGAATTTGGCCAGGACACCAGGGTTACATCCCTACTCTTTATGAGAAGTGTCGTGGGATTTTTAATGACCACAGAGAGTCAAGACAGTTTAACGTCTTTGAGGTTGAATGTTTGTAATCTTCATGTTTTGAGCGGGTTTGTGAGATTCTCATATATTGTTAATCTCTTTTCAGGTTTTGTCCCTCAGTTCTGTGTCTGATGTTCACTCTCATTTTGAGAGTCTCATCTCATCTATCAACAGTCCATCAGCCTCCTACATCCTCAGACTGGCCAACCGCCTCTATGGAGAGAAAACCTTCAGCTTCTTACCTGTGAGTCCGGTCTTTTACTGTGTGACATTTTGATGCTCTCTTTGTGGGGGTGGTCTTGGTATTCATCACGTTGTGGGTGAAAAAGCAATACCTTCTCCTCAAAATGTGCCACTGGTGGCGTAATCTATCATTTCATCTGAAAAAATCAGGGTTAGCAAATCTTGTCTAATATGTCTAAACTGTCCATCAAAATGAGCTACGTGGCACAGCTTTTATAATTATAATTATCAGTCATTTTTGGCTTTGTGGGGACATTTATTTTAGTCCCCATGAAGAAGATGCCTCATAAATCTTACAGGATGAAGTTTTTCCCAAATGTAAAACAGCACAATGTTTACTATGATGGTTGGCAAAGGGGGATAAAATAGTATTGTACAGCATAAAAACCATTACATCTGTGAAAAGTCCTCATAAAACAACAACAACAAAAAACACATTGTCTATATGTGTGCAATGATTCACAGTCTTTATTTTTTCCCTCAGGAATATTTGGACTCCACTATGAAGCTGTATCATGCTGAACTTCAGACTGTGGACTTCATTAGAGCATCAGAAGAGTCTCGACAGCTCATTAACAAATGGGTGGAAAAGCAGACAGAGAGTGAGAAGTAAATCACATTTAAAAATCACACTGGAATAGGGTTTGCTTTCGTTTGTTTTAACTGAGAGACTTAAATGTGTAGTTAAAAACTTGAACTAATTCCTCTGCTTACAACAGAGTAAATAACGAAATATATTTACATTAATAATAATAATGAATACAAATACTTTCTTGTTGTTATTAAATGTCGTTCCAGACAAAATCAGAGATCTTCTGAAGCCTGGTATGGTGACTACAATGACTCGACTCGCGTTGGTTAATGCCATCTACTTTAAAGGGAAATGGACACACACATTTCAAGCAAAATACACTAGAGAAATGGCATTTAAAATAAACCAGGTGTGATCTTGTTTCTGAGGTGCAAAAGCACATGCAAACTTATGTTCGTGCTTACAATTGAACACATGTTGTATATTTCAATTAGAAGGAGAGCCATCCTGTGTGAATGATGCACCAGCTAAATAAGCTCCCTTTCAGATGCCTCCCAGAGTATAAACTGCAAGTGCTGGAGTTACCATATATACGGCAGGAGCTCAGCATGTTGATCCTTCTTCCAGACGAAACTAAGGATGGATCTGATCCTCTTCTCAAGGTCAGCAAAGTGTTGTGAGCAACATTCCTTGTGAGTGTGTGTCTTTTATTCAATTTATTATTTTTTGCTTTTGTGTGTGTGTATCTGACAGCTGGAGAAAGAGTTGACTCTTGAAAAGCTGCTTGACTGGACCAACAGAGACAAAATGGACACACAGGGGGCGGTCATTGTCCATCTGCCAAAGTTCAAGTTGGAGATTGAGAGCTGTCTTTCAGAAACACTGGAAAAGATGGGCATGAGCTCTGTGTTCCAGGAAACCAAGGCTGATCTGACAGGCATGGGCAGTAATGGTGGTCTCTTTGTTTCAGCAGTGATTCACAAGGCTTTTGTGGATGTCAGTGAGGAAGGAACTGAAGCAGCAGCAGCTACATGTGTGTATATTATAACTAGTTATGTCCCCCGACCAGAACCTCGATATTATTTCACTGCAGATCACCCCTTCATGTTCTTCATCAGGCACAACCCCTCAAACAACATCCTCTTCTTGGGCAGATACAGAAGCCCATCCTAGAAATGCAGTGTTTGTTTTGGTTAATGCAGATGAAATTCTGTGTTTACTCTCAATCTTTTGGCAAAAAAATCACTTTATTTGTTTTTGTATTCACAAATGACATTAATCCAGCTTGTTTACAGTAATGCCCATATAAAGTTTTAGTTCTGACCATGATCCCTTTGGTTGTGTTTGTCTCTGATAGAGCAACAGCTAAATAAAGCTGGGTTTTTTCTGTTATAATTATTTTTGGGGGGGTTTCACCTTTATTCGATAGGACAGTAGAGAGCATGGACAGGAAAGTGTGGAGAGCTGAGAGAGGGGAAGGATCAGCATAGGACCTCAGGGCTATAATCAAACTCAGGTCGCTGTGAGTGCCATGTGTCAGCACACCAACCACTACATCATTGGTGCCAATGTATTTTGTTATTTTACACTGAGTTTTACCCTCTTTTATTAACTTTGTGAAGCTAAATTGGTATACATTATTATTCTAAACACAGACAGAAGGGCACAAAAAACAAGCTTTGTAGTGTGTTTTTATATTTCATAAATAAAATATAAATACTTCAAATGAACTTTTATGATGAACAAATTAAAGAGCAAGTTTATTTATATTGTGATTTTCATAATGCATATCATTTTAAAGCAGCTTTTTAGAAAAACACATGATTTTACTTACTAAAAGTAGTCTGGTTATCAGTTGCTAGTGTCAAAATGATGGCCATATTGCTGAAATGTTCAGGGATGATAAATACACTACCTGACAAAAGTCTTGTTGATGCCACTTGTAAGAGCAACAAATAATAACTTGACTTCTTGTTAATCACTTGGAAAAGTGGCAGAAGATAGATTGTTCTCATGAGTTATCTGTTGAACTTCATCTCAAACATTACGAATACTGCAGGAGACCTATTGGAACCCGCATGGACCCAAGATTCTCATAGAAATCAGTCAAGTTTGGTGAAGGAAAATTCATGGTTTGGGCTTACATTCAGTATGAAAGTGTGCGAGAGATCTGCAGAGTGGATGGCATCAACAGCCTGAGGTATCAAGACATCTGTGCTGCCCGTTACATTACAAACCACAGAAGAGGGCAAATTCCTCCGCTGTATAGCACTCCTCAATCTTCAGCCTCCACATCGAGGTTCCTGAAAGCAAAGAAGGTCAAGGTGCTCTAGGATTGGCCAGCCCATTAACCAGAAATTATTGATCATGTCTAGAGTAAGATGAAGGAGGAGGCATTGAAGATGAATCCAAAGAATCTTGATGAACTCTAGTAGTCCTGTAAGAACGCTTTTTTTGCCACTCCAGATGACTTTATTAATCAGTTATTTGAGTCATAGCAGAGATGTATGGATGCAGTCCTCCAAGCTTATGGGAGTCATACACAATATTTATTATTTTTCCACTGCACCATGACTTTATTTTCTAAACATTACATTATGTCTGTTAAGCAACAGGTGACTTTACTGTCTTAATTAAATAGTTAAAAATCAAGGCATAATCATATTTTTTGTGTGTTAAAATAAGTGTAATCTAGAGGCGTTTGCCTTTCAAATAAGCCACTTCTGATACCAAATGATCAACCAGAAGTCAAGTTATTATTTGTTTCTACTAAAACTTAGCTAGGGGACAATATTTTTGTCAGGTATCGTAGTCCAGATAATGATGCAAGTAATGTATATTTTAAAACAAAAAAAGTATTTGAAAATCGCAGCATTATGTGAACAAACATATGCAGAATTTCAGAATGCCACTGGATTTTATAAAAACGTAGTATTTTATCGTTATAAATCACAACAGGTTATCATGTCATCAACAAAAGTTACTAATATGAGTTTGAGTCAGAGTTTACTTTATACTGTAATTACATATGAGCAGTTCCAGTAGATTTAATCAGAGACATCAAGAATTATTGGAAGTTAAGGTAATAGAAGCTATGCTATATGTTGATTATTGTTGTTTGTCTCTACGTTTTTTTCTTATACGGTTACACTATAGAGTGCAAACATTAAGAGTTTTTTTTTTTTTTTGAGAACAGAAGATTATGAAGAGCAGGTACTAATCAGATCTAATATTTTATGTACTTGTTTTGCATTAATGGCTATAGTTTTAAATATTCATTCTTTTATTTTCTTTCAGCTTAGTTCCTTTATTTATCAGGGGTTGCCGCAGTGTAAAGAACCACCTACTTAGGCCGTACTCACACTATGTACAGTTGCCTCGAACCGGGCCAAAGCATACTTGTCCCGCCTCCCGTCTCACGATATGGACGGTCCCGTCTTACGTCTCACGGTCATAGTGTATGTGTGTGAATCAGTGATGGATCACCCATACACTCACTGATTCACACATATACACTATGACCAATTAAGTTTATTTAATTCACCTCTACTGCATGTCTTTGGACTGTGGGGGAAACCAGAGCACACAAACATGGGGAGAACATGCAAACTCCACACAGAAACGCCAACTGACTCAGCCGGGGCTCAAACCAGCAGCCTTCTTGCTGTGAGGCAACAGTAATAACCACTGAGCCACAGTTCCACCCTTTTAAAATATTTATTAGTAAGTTATTCATTTATTTTGTGTGTTTAATAACTTTCTCTTAAATCAAGAAAAATATGTCAGAATTCACTCAGCCTTTACTTGTTTCAAGCCTTAAGTTTCTTTCTTCTGTTAAACACAAAAGAAGATATGTTGGAAACCCTTGTAACCATTGACACCCATCCATAATGTTGTTTTTCCAACAATGGAAGTCAAGGGTCACATACTTTTAGATATTTACCTCTTTTGGACCACTTAGGGGAGAGTAAATAGTAAGTAAATTTTGACTCCATCCTAGTAGGTGGCGGTATAAGCAGTAAAGCTGGTTTGTAAACCGCCACATGACATCAGAGAAGAAGAAAAAGTAGTAGAAGAAGAAGAAAAAGAAGAGAGCACCAGCAACCCGAGAAACCTATTTTGTGAATTGTCCAGAAGATATTGGCGCCGAAGAAGGTAAGGATAATTCCTGTTCATGTGAGAATAGTCTAGGTGTGTGTGACCGTGGCAGTGTCTGGATTTCTGCTGACTCGGCGTGTCAAGTTTGGTAACGTTACAGTGTGCCAAATACTTTAACGTGAAAATACACTTAAAAGGGGCTTTGATTATGCCACGATAACCTGAGGTGAAAGTCATGTCAGACATTATTTCGCAACGTCCAACATTAATAAAATTCACAACAAGATTGTAACTTATACCTCCTGATTTCTTTGGTAACAATTACAGTAATTGATAGTTTAAGTGTATCTGCAAGAAACTATCCAAATGTATATTCAATTACAAGTACATTTTAGCATTTGAATCCCTCTTATCTTCCTAATCATATTTCATTGTAACTTAATGTCGAAGAAATAAAACATTTGGGATTTTATTGCAGTGTTAAAGTATGTATTCTTATCCAAACCTGAGGTGTCTTTCTGTATTGTGATTATTCTATTTTGTTCAGTTTTATACATCAGACACTTAAATAAACAGTAAAAGGAAAAACTCCTGACTATATTGTTGAAAATGAAATGAGTCATAACGGGTTTACATTAACTAGAATAACTCTCCTAAATTTGTCTTTTATGACTGCATAGTTTTTCATCCAAATAACAAAAATAAATAATTTTTTCAGATTTTAAATCCTTGCCATCATCTGAGGCTATCTTATGGTATCCAAGAGAGCTTAACAGAAAACAAAAACGCCAGCAAATTAAGAAAAGATCTTCATCTATTTGACAGCACACGTGCTGCAAATTCTCACAACGCATACACATTAAAAAAATACGCTGCATTTTCACACAATCCAAACTAATTAATAAAACGCACTGCATTTTCTAACTGCGCAAACTATTTCTGAAAATGTGCTGCATTTTCTGTAACTCTTGCAAAAAGAACGAGACACAACAGAAATGTTTTGAGGTGACCAAATATGTGACGGATGCCGCTGTTATGACTATTGCTCAGTGAAGTTGTAGGTAATCTTTATAATAACAATAACCTAAATAGCCGGGTCCGTAACATTTTATATTCCCCTTGAAATATTTCCGTTGTGTTCCACTCTATTTAAAAAGTGTTGTGAGGTAATAAAGTGTGTTTTTTTTATCTGTTTGCGTTGTAAGAAAAAAAAAGGACATTTTTAAAAAATTGTGTATGCATTGTAAGGATTTGCAGCACATGTGCTGTCAAAAGGATTCAAATCTTTTCTCAATTTACTGGTGTTTTTTTTTTGTAATTGCATGTGTTTCCTTTAATTGCAGTGTGTTAAGCTCTCTCGGCCACTGTACTGTCTTCATAGTTATGAAAATACAGCATTTGAACCCTTACAATAAAAGTAACTCCAAAGAAAATACTTTCATTCATTCATTCATCTGGTTTTCAGCTTAGTCTGGGGTCATCACAGCGGAATGAATCGCCAACTTATCCAGCATATGTTTTATGCAGCAGATGCACTTTCAGCTGCAACCCAACACTGGGAAACATCCATACACTTTTGCATTAACACACATACACTACAGCCAATTTAGCTTATTCAATTAACATATACTGCATCTTCAGACTGTGGGGGAAACCAGAGCACCCAGAGGAAGCTCACGCAAACACAGGAGAACATGCAAACTCCACAAAGAACTCTCAACTGATCCAGCCAGGGCTCGAAACAGCGACCTTTTTACTGTAAGGCGATCGTTCTACCCACTGCGCCACTTTCTGCTAACCGCAATGGAGCCTGCTGATGTTTTCATACTTTATCATAGATGAAGTAGTAGATAAGATGCAATGTTGTTCAACTACATTATATGTGGGCTTCATTCAGAATAGTTGTGGGTCTGTTGATTTCATTTTATATATATATATATATATATATATATATATATATATATAGAAAATTAGCTCAGAAGGGGATAAATATTAACAAGTAATAACTTATTTTATTGCCAGGAAAATATTTTCTTACTGTTAATGGTACTAGCAGTTACACAATTTTAGGTAGTGATATCACTTCATGATGGGGGAAATATACACTATCGAAAATATATCAATGGAAAATAGAGTGGGGGAGGGAAAGATTGGTAGCGAAAAGAACAGTACATTCTGACAATGCTTTAATACCAGTTAATCACCAAAAAAATAATGGAAACTTACCTTTGTAGATGCGTCTTATAGTTAAATAGTTGCATTGGTCATTCTTTGTGTGGCTTATGCAATGCAGGCGAGCTTGAATGGTTGATTAAGTTATAGCAGAGTGTTGGACAGCTTTAAAGTACCTGTGAATTTACAGTCATTTCAAGAGTTGGCTATTTAGGGGTGCTTATTTAGGTGTGATATCTGAAAATGAATTGTACTTGCATCCATTTACTTGTTTTGTTTTATGGCCCAAGGAGAACTGGCATCCTGCAAGAACACTGGATTTGAGTTTGGTAGATGAATATGACTTGCTCAGAGGAAGCAGACGCACAGTTGGCAGAGATAGAACTGCTGATAAGTATGTTTCCAAGTGAAGAAGAGTTACAAGTGGATGAGATCTCGCATGCAGAGCTCAGGGCTTATGTGGAAGGCTCAGCTCATACTCCCCCCACCTCTAGACCCCAATTCAGCATCATGGTGAAGGTGGAGAACCCTGCAGTAAGTGTGTGAAATGCATTACACTCTTTGTTTGTTATGGAATATTCTCTGTTAATTTTTATTTTCCTGATAGGCGTGCATTACAATGGTTTGCTCTTACCCAAATGACTACCCAAAAGAGTTGCCAGACATCACTGTCAGGTATTTAAAAAATATGAGTTTGCAACTAATCCTATTGCTTTCCATAAGCATGTTTGATTAATTGATTGATTGATTGATTGATTGATTACTCACTCCATGCCAAATTATTCCATTGAATGTATACTGAATACATTTACTCTAAAGTAACTATTTCTTTAGGATTTGAAAACATGTCTTAATATTTTCACATTTGAAAACAAAAGGTTTTTATTAAAAGTCCATCAGATCTTCTACAGGTATATTTCATTTTTTGATTTCTTCGTTATTGGAAATCATAAAAATGAGTTTGAGCGTGCAAAACCTGTAGGACGGTGCTGTGAAAAGGGGTGGAATACAAGGTAATTATAGTTAACGAAAATGAACAAAAAAACGAAAACTAGAATTGAAAATAACATTTTTGTTAACTTAAATAAAAATTTAAACTAGGGTTTTTTTAAACTAGAACTAACTGAAACTAAAATTATAGCAAAAACGTTCTTCGCTTTTGTCTTCGTAAATGTATTTAATTTATACTGTGCGCCTTTTAGAAGAAAAGGTTTTTGACTGTACTCCACCTCAGAGTCTGTAATCCTGCGGCTGGACATGACAGCAGCCTGTTGACAATGATGAATACGACCTGAGCAGACAGTATTCATTTTACACATTTGTACCCAATAATGGCTTTTATTTCTGTATTAGTGATCGCGATGGAATCTTTCTTTTTATCTGGATATTCTAAGTTAACCAGCTGAACTAATTCACCAAATCGAACTGAATCATTTGAAACTATTAACGTCTCCAGTAACATTAAGCACTTATCCACAAACAACCTCCCTTTTACCATTGTAAGAATTGAAATATTACAAATATTTTTGATGTCTTTGACGATTCAAAACATGAGCTGAAAACAGAGACTGGTGACTTCACAACCCACCAGGGGGGAATGCGGGAAAAACCAGTTCCTGCTGCATTTGCATCTGAGTCTGCTGAAGCTCGGCTTCATCCACCCCATCTCACATATGGTCATTTCAATGTTTGAATGTTCGAGATTAACCAAACTGACTTTAACTATCATGTTTGATATCATTTGAAATGTCTCAGTGCGATTGGTACAATGGTCCCATTCTCTCAGAAATAGGCATAATCAAAACAATAAATATATAACTTCAGGCATCTTTTGAACCATTGTGAAGGGTGTGACTTTTCCCTAAGTGTGAATGCCTTTTGTTATTCACACCCCCTTCCTTGAGGGAATTCTTGGATTATTTAAGGTAAGGTCTGAGGCCCCGTTTACACTAGTGCGTTTTAGTTTGAAAACGCATAAGTTTTGCTACGGTTACGCCATCCGTCCACACTACGCCGGAGTTCTCGAGCGCCGAAAACGGAGCTTTTTGAAAACGCTGGAGAGGCCGTTTTCATTCTAAAACGCTGCTGCTCCGTCTCAGTGTGGATGGGGAAAGACGGAGACATCTGAAAACGGAGGCGGGGCTGCAAACGTTCGCCTATCTGATTGGGGCTTTTCCTCAATATTAAGTAGCCCACACAGTTCAGTCTCGCATCCTCTTCTTGTAAGTTAAGACTTCGCAAGTTTGATCAAGGCTGCAGTCTCCCCCTTCTCAGTTTGATATGGAAAACAGACTATACCGAGGACACGGGTAAATCTTCAAAGGGAACAGTGTACTTCATAACTTCATTCACATCACCTTGGCTACGTTGTTTCACTTTCTCAACAATAAAATGTAAACATGATTTAAGGAACTGCCTATTTTCTTTTTAATATTAGCAACTTAATAGACAGCAGAAATATTGAGGTGTCGTGCTGCATGAGCGTCATCTTCACTGTGTGGATATTTATAACAAAACGGAGCCTATTACAACTGCCTCCTTTCAATTTCAGTGAAAATACGAAACGCACCCTCTCTTTTGCTGAATATCAGTTTTAATAATCGATAATTATAAAAGTATAACATACAATAAGTTTATACATTGTAGGAAATAAAGACGAGCGATCAGTCAATGTACCTGGATTAATCATTAACTTATCTTTGCGCTTAACCAAAACATGTTACCCGTGAACAAGTAACTTAATAGATTCCAATGACCAAAGTCAGGGAATTGGCCTATGTCGTTAGATAAAGACAACAACATGAATGAAATATCACGTTTAGCAAATATAGTGAGATTAGATCCAGCGGGAGATGCGTGATGAGCAGTCCGACAAGCAGAGCTCTCATCTGGGTAGAAATGCTGGAGCGCTTGCCCGAGAGTGTGTGTGTGGTCACGTGATGTGCGTTTTCAGCGTTTTGGTGTGGACGGAGAGCTGTTCAGAAACGCTGGGTAAAACGCGAGTGTGGACGCGGATCGTTTTCATTCTACAACGCCTTTTTTAAAACTAAAACGCACTAGTGTAAACGGGGCCTGAGAAAGACCCAGCGCGATTCTGCCTACCCAGATCAGCCCATAACATGGAGCCTAGGCTCCACGTTATGTAAAATTTACACGTTATGTAAAAGGTCAGGTATGCATCTTTTCATCTTGGATTTATCTTTGATAATTTGATGTTTTGTATTGATCATTTATGAATTGACTGATTGAATTGGCATAATACATTTACCTGACTAATAAATTGTAATGTTTGACCATATTTTGCTCACTCTGTAATTATTAATTCAAGTAGATTACGCTGTATCCTTGTTTCCGCACGTCTTGCGTCAGGTCAGTAGACGGACTAAAATCCAATTGAGATGGAGCATTGGGCACACTAATTGTGTTTTAGGGATCCGGCTGACTCTTGATATTGATTCATGTGTACTTAGGTGGAAAGGGCGATAACTTCCGTCTAGGTCAACAAGGTGTTGCACGACTAACCTAGATTGGGTACCCGACCTTTGTTTGAAGGTAATATTACTCTAAATTAAGTTCATATGGGAAACCATGGGCTTGGTGAAAACCAAAGTTACTATAGAGTCCAGTAGTCGGGTACATTTATATTAATGCCCTAACCTCTAATTAGAAATGATGATTGTCTTAACTCAAAGGTGTACATCTAAGCGGGACTAACTAAAGTATTTTAGAACGAGCGCGCTGGTAGCGGCCATCTAAAGTATTAGTCAATTTACCTCTGTTTAATATTCAAGACTGACCGGAGTGTGACCGTGAGGGACGCCTTCGGCTGAGGCAATTTCTCTGAGCGACATGAGCACCCGAATGAACGAATGTAATAGTTACTAGTGAAGACAAAAGGTTCAAACATTTATCTAAATTATATATCGATATAATCTTATGATTGGAGTCAGATAAAACAATGATAAATATATTAATATTCTAAACCACCTCATATTAAAATTGGAGTCAGATATGAGCTAAGTTAATATTAATCAACATTGTGCACTGGAAAGACCGAACAGGCATTAAACCTTCATCCACCAGTGGACACTGGCATTGGGCCAACTGGGTGGACCTTACACCATGCCTGATACCCCCTCTGACTCTCATTTAAATCAAAATATACTAGGTTATTCATTTATTAGAACAGTACACTGAGATCAGATTTGAGAAGCTGTGAACCGATAATACGATGGCAATAATGATTCAGTGAACTGAACACAAACAGTACATGACAGGCTGCTGTGACTGAAGCAAACTTGAACAACTGCAGCGCTGGTAAACAGAGGACTTAAATGAGAGGGTCTGGATAAAAAACACAAGTTTATTTCATAACAGAAAGTCGTAATGGAAATTAAATAAGTGAATCATGCTTCAGTTGGGTTACTAAATGAAGTTTCACAAACTAATTTCGAGAGGAGCATGTGATATGATTGACTGCAGCTGGCCACTCATCTACACTCATTGGCTAGCCAATCGGATCAATCCAAACTCACTATAAATAACCTAGCTAAGATCTACTCCCTTATCTTCGTTTTCCGAAGAAACCCCCCATCCACCCCTTCTCCTCCTTTCCTTTTTTGCCGAGGGGAACTCTCGAGAACACCTGACCTCGTACTCCCCCACATGCTTTATGGACCTGGCGGGAGCCCTGGGCTCAACTATCTCCGAGCTCAGAGTTCTCTCCCGGGACAGTATGCCAAACCTGCTAACTTGCTAACAAGTTGTCAAACAGTATCTAAGTGTGAACTCTTGAAACATAATTGTAAGAAACTTTTCAGATCATGGTAATGTTCTGACTTAAATTATGATTGCTAACTACATATTTTTGATATGTTGAGTTCAAATTAGGGAAGATTGTCACAAAATATCCAGTTCGCGTTAAAGATCCGAACTTCCCATAACTTCTGTGTATCTAACCTCAGAAGCAGTCTGCATACATATGGCTGATATCTTGTTGGGCTGTTGTATTTGAAGTTGAGGATGGGTAGATGGTGGTGTTCTTGTGTCAAAAAAATCTTTGGTTGAGTTTTTATTATACAATATTTATTTTGATAATTTTGAATCTTGCACCTAACAAATATACTAATTTCCAAAAAGACAACAAACAAAACCTAAAACTAGCATTGAAACTAATAAAAACTAAACTAAAATTAAGCAATTGAAAATATAAAAGCTAAGAAAAACTAGTAAATCTGCCTCTGAAGACTAATTAAAACAAACTGAAATTGAAAACAAAAAGTCAAAACTAAATAAAATTAAAACTAATTAAAAACCCAAAACTATTATAACCTTGTTTGGATAAAACAAGAAATTGCTCCATATTTTACATTTCTGTTCAGAGAGGTCATGTTTTGATCTTCTTTTGGTTTGATCTTCTGTGGCTCGCATATATTCACATAATGCTAATTTACAGGTCAGAATTCAACGAGTTTGAACTTTGGAACACAGTGGCATGCGAAACTTGCTGCACAAGATTGTATTTCTGGGCTGGCACATTTGCATAAGTATGAATGAAAGTCAATGGAAGCCCAATGGGAACTGTGTTGTCAAACATACCCAAATCTAAAATATCAAATAGTTTGTGTTATGCTGGAATTCCCATTTGCATAGAAATTTAACTTGGATTCATTCAGGATATGAACTATAATAATATATATTTTGCCCTTTTCAGGTGCGCTGAGCTTATTAGATCACAGCAGATGCAGCTTCACTCTGATCTCAACAACTACCTGACTGAAAACTGCAGAGGTGAAGTGTGTGTTCTTTCAGCTGTGCAGTGGATCAAAGACAATGCATGCGTATATTTCACTAAAAGCGCAGCTTTCAGTGAACCCAAGAAAGAACATGCTTTGACTCAGCCAAAAACAACATTCAGTAGACTCTGGATCTACAGCCATCATATCTACAATAAGATCAAGAGGAAGAACATTCTGGAATGGGCAAAGGAGCTAAACCTTTCTGGGTTCAGCATGCCAGGAAAGCCTGGGATTGTCTGTGTAGAAGGTCTGCAGTCTGTTTGTGATGAGTTCTGGGCCAGGTAACTAAAAAGCTAGTCAGATATACTGAATACCCCCTAAGATATTTAACCCTTGTGTGCTATTGGGGGATGTTTTCATCTCTCTAGGGTGATTTTTAAGTCTTAATTTGGCCACAACTCTCTCTTTGTTTCAGCAAATAGAATGATGTTTTGGTGAAAAATCTTATTTTGACACATATTTTGGGAAATGCTTTGAAAACTTAAAAAAACTCAACAGTACAGTCTGGGCAAATTGACTATTTTTTTGTTATGTTGGTGGCTGTTTTTGCCCCATTGACTTCCATTGTAATGACATTTTTTGATTGCAAAGCTGTGACAACATATAATCATGGATTCCCTGTTGGGAAGAGGTCAGATTAGTCGTTTTTTACTGTTGATCATCAGTTGCAGTGCCAAAAGCTTAGTTTCTTATAATGATATGTCTGAGGAAAAACAAAATAAGCATCTCAGCCCTCAGAACATACTAAGTGTATTTATGCATGCATACTATAATTTGTTGTTATACTTCACAGAACTCCAATTAAACGACAGAAACTTTTTTGCACTGGCCTATCTAAAGGGGTTAATTGTGCCAACAGATTATCAGCAGTAAAAATTACATATTTGGCCTCTTCCCAACAGAGAAAACAACCAACAATCAGGAAAGCATGATTATATGGCGTCCAGGCTTTGCAATGAAAAATGTGGTTATAATGGAAGCCAATGGGGCAAAAACAGCCAAGAGCATAAAGAAAGGGTAGTCAATTTGAACAATACACAAGGGTTAGGTATCCAAAAAGATTTTATTTGAAAATGGAGGTCTCTGATTATTTCGGGTACAAAAGTTGTTGTCATTTGGTGAATATCTCTATTTTTAATTTCAACATATGCCATGCAGCCTGTGTCATGCTACAGTATACCTCTCACCTCAGCCTGGTGATCTGACTATATCTGATAGCACATTTTGACAGATGAAACACCATTGCAGTAAACTAAAGTCTGTATTATTATTACTTCAGCCTACCTCAACCAGGGGTGGGCAAGTTGCAGTCGTGGAGGATTCTGCACCAATCCTAATCAGACACACTTGAACAAGGTCTGCATGTTACTTAAAAGCTACAGGCAGGTCTTTTAAAAACATTTTTTTTAATAAAGTCCAGATTAATACTCTGCTCTCTAAGACTGAACTTGCATTCCCCTGTGTTAAGTGCATCAACTATGCTCAAAAAAATCATGTTTGCTGGTTATTCAAACTACTTATTTAAAATAAGCTGACACAACACTGTTATTGAGGGTTTTTTTGGGACAACTTTGTTGTTTTATGTTCAATCCCCTTAACTTTGTAAAAACTAGTAAGTAAAATGAATTCCTTCATGTTGTCCCAACCCAAATTAATTAAGTGGAACCCAGCATTTTTACACAGTAGAACTCCTGCAAGAGAGCCAGGATCCTTGGAGTTGTAATTGAGTCTGGACCCAATGGCCGCAGGTTCCAACATGTGCAAAATTGCAAGAGTTTTTAAGCATGTATAACCAATAATAGGGTCTCAAAACAATAAAAAATATAACAATACTTAAAATAATAAGAGGGTCCCTTTTGGGCTTGGAACCTAATGAGAATAAACACTATATAAGCAGCAATATATAGCAGTAATATAATGCAGCATAAAACAACGAATACACGATTAAATCAATACAAAGCATGAAAGAAAACATTAAAAACTGTAGAAATCCTTTCCCAGAACTAAATATAGGATATAATAGATATGATTTAGAAATAAATAATAAAAAAATTCTGAACCAGCCTCAGTAGTGTCTAATGCTGGGTTCAATGTTTGTCTGCAGAGGGATATTCTTCTGGGGCCACAGAAGTGGTTTTGCCACATGGATTTATACCTGTCAAAATGCTGCTTATGATTTTATTAATTTTTCTAGTCTCCTTTTATCTCCTGTATTGATTTAACCTACTTTTCTTTTTTTTTTTAGACTTAAGGTTTTGACATGGAAGAGAATAATGATTTGTCACAGAGAAGATGTCCCTTTAGACAGTAGCTGGACGGAGGAGAGAATTGAATCCCTCCGCAAGTTCACCCTCTTTCATGAAGCTATATTTTACCCGCATGGGACTAAAGGAAACCACATGGACCTTGGGCAGCTCTATCAGTTCCTTAATGACAAAGGATGTGCTGATATATTTCAGTTGTACTTTGGAATTAAGGGTCAGTGACAATATGCCTGTGATAAGCTGGATGGAAAAGACAACACCTATGTTTTATCCAACTGTGTTTGCAGGGTGTGTTTATTGGAAGTGACCATGCCATAGAAATGACAGAAATGATGTCTAATGATTATCCATCTGACTAGAGTGATATTTATTCTGTGTCCTAGGTTTACAGAGGTTATTTTTTTTATATATATTTTGTGATATGATTAAGTTTGAAAGAATCAAAACACTTGGACAATGGACAATACAAACACAGTGTATTAACACAAATATTCATTCACCTTCGGCTCAGTCCCTTATTTATCAAAGGTCGCCACAGTGGAATGAACTGCCAACTATTTCGGCGTATGTTTTACACAGCTAGTGCCCTTACAAACGCAACCCAATACTAGAAAATGCTCATACACGCTTGCATTCACACACACTCTCATACACTATGGCTAATTTAGTTTATTCAATTCACATTTAGCGCATGTCTTTGGACTGTGGGTGAAACTGGAGCACCCGGAAGAAACCCACACAAACATGGGTAGAACATTCAAAGTAGGAAAAACAAACATGCAAATGATGCAAATGGTGACGTTTCCAGCTTTTTTCACACTGTCCGTTGTGTTCAACAGAAGAAAAAATCTCAAACTGGTTTAGAACAAAAGGGATGAGTAAATGGGGAATTTTCATTGGCATTTCATTCATATGAAAACACAAGATTTTTAAAAGAAAGCGAGCCACAAAGACATATAGCAACAGAATTCGCTACTTTTTTAAGATGAAATGAGAGAATGAACGGTTACGTATGCTATTCAAATAAGACAGGTAAAACTTGCTAAACTGGTTTTCACACAGGCGTAGAGTTACACAGCAGCTGTCTAATCAAAGGTGAGAATTTCTGCGAACATTTGTGATGAAAACGTAAAACAATGTAGGCTATAGTAGTTGTGATATTTAAATTTGCTCCTATAAAGTTGATTGGTTTTGTCTTTGATTTTCATCAGCGTGATCATCATCATCTTCAGTGATGGAGGGAGTCTCTCGTGCTAACAGTCTCTTCGCTCTGGATCTCTATCGGGCTCTGAGCGCCAGCAGTGCTGAGGGAAACATCTTCTTTTCTCCATTGAGCATCAGTGCAGCGCTCAGCATGGTCTACTTGGGGGCCCGAGGAGACACTGCTGGAGAAATGGAGAAGGTATCGTGAAATGTAACCTTAACGTTGGCATTTTACTTTCAGTTTTGCTAATTTCGACGCTTCTGTAAAATTTCATTAGCAAAAAATACTTTAAAAAAGTAGGCACAAAGTAGACCAAATAAAGAGCAAAGTAATGGGGTTAGACAAACCATATTTTTTACCAACAACACACAAGCCTCTCCTACAAATGAGCATTGACAGTATGATCGCTAGACCTATGGTATCTGTGCAGTATTACTTAAAGTGCCAGGAGTAAAAATGTTATTATTTACCCCCTGCGGGGCAAGTTGTAACAGATAGAGGGTTAGTGGTAACATTCTTATAAAGCCAGGTTTCAGCCAATTCAGTTTACTTTAAATAGTACAGTATATGACATCAGTAATCATTTTTTTATTCTATACAGCACAGCTTGTTTATTTGTTATCTGTTGGATAAACACATTTGGATTTATTAGCATTATTACCCATACTTATACAATGAATTTATTTGAATTATTAACAATAAAATGTATTTTCTTCTATTAAAAACATTTTTTTATTGAAAAAGTTTTAAACATTACATTCACAGTTCAACAATTGAGCATAATGCAAAATACTTTTATGTTGCAAAAATATGTTCTCCAGTGTTTCACATCCTAATTTTGCAAACTTTTTCAATAATTGGCTGGAAGATGTCTGCAGACACTGTGGTGAAAACCTTGGAAGTATGACATGCCTTAAAACTCAAAGTACATTTTACTTTGCGTTACTTTGTGCCCTGTGCTCCCATATATATATATAATTATATATATATAATTTTAATAAATGTGTCATTGTTTTTTTGCATGAGATTTTTTTGACACCGTGGTATTTTTAGGGATGACCTTAATATATCTTTCATCTTTTTTCTCTCTCTGCAGGTCTTGTGCTTCAGTTCTGTCTCTGATTTTCACGCTCATTTCAAGACCCTCATCTCATCTATCAACAGTCCATCAGCCTCCTACATCCTCAGACTGGCCAACCGCCTCTATGGAGAGAAAACTTTCAGCTTCTTACCTGTGAGTCCATTCTGCTTTTAATAATAAAACATTTTAATGCTCTCTCTCTCTCTCTCTGTGGTTTAAGTAGTCTTTATTTTGTCCGGCAGATGTATGTGGACTCCACTATGAAGCTTTATCACGCTGAACCTCAGACTGTGGACTTCATTAGAGCAGCAGATGACTCTCGCCAGTTCATTAACAAATGGGTGGAAAAGCAGACAGAGAGTGAGAAGATACAATTACACCTACGATAAAGTAAAATTATGTATGGTTCTTGGAAAAATCAGATTAAGCTTTATTGACACATGTGTGATAAAGGAATCATTTTAGTTTTCTCTTTATAACTTGTTAAAGAATGCTAAAAGGTCTAAAGTGTATAATTTAGTGGTGTTTTTGCTGTTTTTGTTTTTAGATCAAATTAAAGATCTTCTTCAGCCTGGTGTGGTAAATGAGATGACCAGACTACTTCTAGTTAATGCCATCTACTTCAAAGGGAACTGGATGCACACATTTGATGCACATGCGACTAAAGAAATGCCATTTAAAATAAACCAGGTGTGACCCACATTTTTTTTATTAGTGTGTTGAATTATTTAAAACTATTTTTATTTTTAAACTTTATGCATTTCTTCACTTGTCTTCAATCAGAATGAGAGTCGGCCTGTGCAAATGATGGATCAGGTGGAAAATTTTCCCTACAGATGCATCCCAGAGTATAAACTGCAGGTGCTGGAGTTGCCATATACACAGCAGGAGCTCAGCATGTTGATCCTTCTTCCAGATGAAATCAAGTATGGATCTGATCCTCTTCTCAAGGTCAGCAAAGTGTTGTGAGCAGACAAAAGATGGATAGTTTTAATCCTGTGTGTGTTATTAACGTGTGTGTGCGTCTAACAGCTGGAGAGCGAGTTGAACCTCCAAAAGCTGCTTGACTGGACCAGTAGAGGCAAAATGGACACATGGAGAAAGATCATTGTCCGTCTGCCAAAGTTCAAGTTGGAGATTGAGAGCTGTCTATCAGAAACACTGGAAAAGATGGGCATGAGCTCTGTGTTCCAGGAAACCAAGGCTGATCTGACAGGCATGAGCAGTAATGGTGGTCTCTTTCTTTCAGCAGTGATTCACAAGGCTTTTGTTGAGGTCAATGAGGAAGGAACTGAAGCAGCAGCAGCAACTGCATTGTTATTACCAATCAGTGCTTGTCAAGGTGCATTTCATGATTTCATAGCCGATCATCCCTTCATGTTCTTCATCAGACACAACCCCACTAACAGCATCCTTTTTCTGGGCAGATTCAGAGCCCCATCCTAGCTATGTAGTTCTTTTTCTTTGTTATATCAAAAGAAATATAATTCACATATTATTTAATAAGCTTTTCTCAATCTTAATCATGGAAAAATGCGTTGCATGTCTTCTGGTTTTACAAACTTACTATTTTAATGAGGTTATTTAGTTATGGGACATCTAAAATTACACCTTTATCTACACAAAGAGTCTTGAGAGTTTTATTTATCAGATGTCATTTCCAGCTCACAGTGTTAAAGTAATGCTAAATTCAGTGGCATGGAGATGGAGAAAGGTCAAGATGATTACAAGGGCCCGGAATAGTACTAAAAAGTAGTTTTATTTCCATTCTCAAAGATTGTAACCACATTTAACTTCTACCACATTTAAAATAAATATAAAATTGTAACATGTAAAATGTAAGCCACTCCTTTGCATAAAATAGAAAACACGTGCCACATTTTCAGATGTTTTAATTGATCTTATAAAATATGATACCTTAACCTATATAGATATCAATGTTTTAATGAAAAAGCACTAATTTTCAACCACAAAAAAGAAAAACATTTGTTATCCTGACAGTTTTCTGAAGAAAAAGGTCTATATTTGGTTTGTTTGTTTTTTTACTTTGATTATATCAGAGTTTAATAAAACAAAACAAATGTAACATTTCACAACAAATCTATACATATTAAATCCAGTAATCTAAGATAAACAGAATTTTTCCATAGGTGTAAATTACCACAATGGCTGTTTATTATCATATATTAGTAACACATTCCTACAGCCTAACAATAATAACTTTATTTTGTACAAAGAAAAATACTATGGGAGTAAATGTGAGGAGAGATCCGTTTGGCTTCTGATATTTTTTCCTTTGTGTTCAGCCGAACAGACATTTACACAGGACTGGAACAGCATGAGGGCAGTAAATGATGAAAGAATTTTCATTTTTTTGGATGAGCATTCCCTAATGCAAGTATGCCCCAACTCTTGGGGCCCTAATGGCTTGTTTCCACTGACTGGTACAGTACGGTTCAGGTCGGTACGGGTCACCTTTATTAGGCTTGCGTTTCCAAGCGTCTACCAAGCCAAGGGTTCCCTTTTGGTGGGCATGGTGTATGACACAAAGTTTCAGTCGACGTCATTTTCGATTGAGAAAATGTCTACAGTAAAGCTGTACAGGTCGTTCAAATATAATATGAGAAGCACTTCTTACAAAACAGATGCTTTATACATATAAATCTTGTTTATAAATGTTTATTACTAACTTTTCTATCAACATGAGTTGATTATAACTGCAGATGAGAGCGCGAAATAGCCTACTGTAACTTCTGCAATTATATAAAATAAATATATAACTGCAACATATATGAACACATACAGACCCTTACAGTTTCCGATGTTACCAACTACAGATAAACTACACACAGCATACATTTAATCCTTATTTAGGTTCAAAAACAACACAAAATATAGCCCACAGTCAGAGCAAACCTCTCTTCTATGTCTTTAATCTTCAGCAGCACATGTAGCCTTTGTTAGAAAAAAATTCCATCATTCTGAGTTCATAATAGTCCAAAAGGTGATGATAATAGTTAAACATGGCAGTTTGTTCACGTTTGCTGAAAAAAAGTGTTCTCCTTTTTTCCAACTTCTCGCGCTTTACTCTTGAGTTTGTCAGTTTCTGACAGGATCGGGTTTTATAAGCACGTCAATAATCAAGCGCACGTTATTATCATCAGCTCAAGAATTTTATTATTTCAGATTTAGATGCGCAGCGAGCGCAAGCAAGAAAGCAAAACCGCTCGCGCTTCAGACTGGCTCATAAAAAAACTAAGGGGCACAGGGTAAAACGGCTCTTCTTTTTGGCTTTGTGGCTGTTCATCAAGACAACGACAAGGTTTGTTTAAGCCCGGGAACCGAACCGTACCATACTGTACCCTACCACTCATTGAAAACGGGCCATAATATATCAGAGATTGTGTTACAGAGGGAGTATTTCTACATGCCCATCCATTACACCACTGTCCAAAAAAAGTATATATTAAAAAGTCTGAGCATCTGAATGTAATCGACAGCTCCTGGATCTTGGATATTATTAAGGCACCACCTCCATCTCTGAGACAATGCCAGTCCAATTAGACTGTTCAGAAAACTTCACAGTGACTTTGGTGCCATTAATTGCTGTAAAGACATTAGAAAGGAAAACACTGTTATTGTATTTCTGTATGTGTTGATCATTTATATCCAAAAAAAAAAAGTGTTAATGACTGTAATGAAGCAGACAAAGTTAGCTGTAGTCCTTCAGCTCAAAACACTTGCCTGTAACCAGTCCAATGCTGTGTTTAGTGATGCCTCCCCAACCATGAGCTGGAGTGCTGACGGTGGATTTTACGCGGACTCTTGATCCAGGGCTTAAACTGAGGGGTCCTGAATTTAAAATAAATATTTGTAATGTGAGTTTAAAAGTCATAGAGGAATGAATTGTTGATGTTATGACAGTTGTGACAGAATTATGACACAGAGACTTTATTTGTGAAGCAAGTCAGAAATATGCAAACAAAAATGGTCAGTTCTGATATTCTATCTACAGTTCTGAGATCATTCCTGAGTAGTGTTAGATATATACTTTCACAATTATGAGTTATTTAGTGCAGTTTTGCAGAGTGGGGAGCAAAAATTCTTACAATTGCAAGTTTATATCCTCCAATTTTATGTTCAGTATTGAGTATTTGCTTCACACAATACTGAGACAAAAGTCAGAACTAGAAGAAAGTAGCGAATACTGTGTGAGACACTTTTTAAACACTTTTCAATTTTTTATCCAGTGGCAGAAACAAAAATCCATTAAAAATTAAAACTTTAAAATGAATACAATATAAAGCATTTTTATTTCAGTAAACCGTTTATTTTAGTGCTACAATGACCAAGCTAAAATAAAAACTACAGGAAAATGACTTCTTATTAAATTTAAGGACAAACTAATGAAAATTTAATAAGTAATTGAAACTGCAGTCAGTGTATGGTTTTGTGTGTGAATAGTTTATTTTGTATAGTAAATAAACCAATTACGGCGGTAATTGTCAATAAAATAATCTGTCAAGTTTACTTTTCATCTTCTCAATATATTGTTCATATTATGGGCCATAATAAATTTATACTTTAATTTAACAAATAGAGCGAATAAAGGAAAAACACTGCAATTACTTTTGGCCACTACAATATATGATAATATCTGATGATAATTTACAGGTTAAATAATTTCCAAACATCCATCAGATTACCTGAAACATCACTAGTGAAGAGCTCCATTTCTGAAACCTCACCAGTCCAGTCTGTCTGTTCAGGGAAATCCACAGTTAAAGACCCACCCTCAATTTCTGCAGAAAACACAGTCATTAGTAATAAACAAATATTTATTATTTATATTTAATATAAAAACATTAATATGTAATTATATGACAAAGTTTTAAACAATTCACAAACTATATATATATATATATATATATATATATATATATATATATATATATATATATATATATATATATATATATATATATAAAAACATGCCGTGTATATATTGAAGTCAGAAATATTAAACCCCCTTTGAATTTTTTTCTTTTTTAAATATTTCCCAAATTATGTTCAATAGAGGAAGGACATTTTCACAGAATGTCTTATAATATTTTTTTCTTCTGGAAAAAGTCTTATTTGTTTTATTTCAGCTAGAATAAAAGCAGTTTTTAATTTTTTAAAAAACATTTTAAGGTCAATGTTTTTAGCCCTTTAAGCTATTTTTTTCCAATTGTCTGCAGAACAACCCATCTTTATACAATAACGTGCCTTACCTAATTAACCTAGTTAAGCCTTTAAATGTCATTTTAAGCTGTATAGAAGTGTCTTGAAAAATGACCAGTCAAATATTATTTACTGTCATCATGGCAAAGATAAAATAAATCAGTTATTAGAGATGAGATAATAATTCTGACTTCAACCGTGTATATATATGTGTATGTATATATATATATATATATATATATATATATATATATATATATATATATATATATATATATATAGTAAGTGTATATAAGTGTATTAACTTTTAATGACACCAATGCTGTTGCGAATGACTGATCCCCATCCATGTTTTGGGTCTTTTACTGAGGGTCTCACCCGGACTCTCATTCCAATTTTGAAGGATACGTGAGTGGAGGATTCTAAGAAGAAGATAAGATAAGAAGATATATATTTTATATATATATATATATAAATATTATTATATAAAATTTGTTTCTGATGTTTATAGAGCAAAACAGATTTTAACATTTTACTAAATCCCACGCCTATGAAATCCAGTAGAAACTGAGAAAACTTTTAAGCAATTTTTGATCATTTAGCTGTTTATGCTGGACACAATCTACCGTATTTAAAGTGACATCAATAGTTAACTATACTTATATGATTAGTCATGGCATATCTTTTTAGTTTTTTGAAACTTAATCATGTTCTAACTTAAGTTTAAGTTGCGCACGCTGTTTTAAGTCAAGTTTAATGGACTCATAAGGCTAATTTGATTCAGCTTAAAAAATAAGGCAATCAGGATTTTTTACAATGTAGGTAATAATACCCAAATCAGTGTTCCCTGCAAGCACCACTTCTGAAACATCTCCAATCCAACCTTCCTGCTCAGGGAAATGAACTGTCACAGTCTCACCCTGCACATCTAAATACAGCAAATATATTAATAACCAAATAATGAATTTACATGTTAAAAAAATTAAGTGATTATAAATTATATCAAATTATCAATCGTATTCTTTCAAATAATAACTCTCGATCAATGACATCGGATGAAGCCTTTACTTATAACACTGCCAATGCTTTTGTTGGTAATCGAACCCCATCCATACATTGGTGTTTCAACAGACGGCTTCACACAGACTTTGTCTCCAATTTTAATATTGCAGGTGAGAGTTGAAGATCCTGCAATAGTGGGCAAAAGAAAATAACACATTAATTGATGCAGCAGTTTAAATACCTAATTTTATAGAAAACGTGTCATGCGGCATTGCATATTTTTGTTGAATAAGTTTAATTTGACTTTTTTTTTACATATTTACCACATTCAACATCATCGTTTACTGGCTCCATTTCAGAGAGAATTCCTTTCCAACCTGCAGATCCAGGAAAGTCGACGACCAAACTCTTATCGCTTTTAATATCTTCAGGAAGTACATGTAAACAATCATTTGTGATGTCTTGCACCATAACTTTTTGTATTATACAAATATTATTGTATACAATTTGTATTAATGAGAACAAAAGGCAGCTTGCCTTTCACCACACCAACACTCTTATGCGTGACACCTTTTCCCCAGTCATATTTTGGCCTTTTAATAGACTCTTTCACTCGGACTCTGTCTCCAACATTAATGCAGCTTGGATTGTTTTTTGTGGTCAGATCTGAAACTGACAGAACACATAGGCCTATTTTATCCCTCATCAATCAAAAACAAGCAGTGGAAGCAATGTTTAGAAGTTTACCTTTCTGAAACGTTTCGTTTATTTTCTGGTTGAAAACAGCTTCTAGTTGCTCTTTAAGTTGGCAGAGAAGTTTGTTTACATCTGTATACGAGCATCCAGGCTTAAAAGAATGGCTCGGAAAGCCATCAGACCCAGAACACAACACAGACTCATAATTCTGAACAAAAAGAACATAAAAACATTTTTGTTATGCTGGTTGAATTTCTCTTCACATATGAAAAACACACAATAATCGAAGCAGTCTCAAAGCGTATGTATTAATATCATCTATGGAAGGAAAAGATCCCAATAAAACTTTGTCCGGACCACATTTTCAGCCTCAATATTACAATAGGCTGTCATATGTGCCTGTCAAGATGTAGATTTGCCTACCTCTACACACCCTGGCTGTATCCTATACTCTTGTGAGGCAGCTGCCATTCTCGTAGTGGTGTCGAAACCCTAGTAAATGTTCTAAAGTGCACTTTATTGATCCCACAATGCACTGCAATAATGAGTGTTCAATCAACGTACACTCAACGACTAGATTAGAGGTATGGAACGGAAAAGTCTAGATCGGATATGCGGCCGGCTGGAAGTGCGATATGCACATTAATAAAGCAGCAATTTTTTATGCCAATGTATAACAATAATTCATATTTTTACAGTACTGTGACGGGTTTAGGGTTGGGGTGGGAGTAGGCGTTTAAAAATAAAATATATTAGGTAATTTAATAGATAACATAACTTATACTCTGTACAACAACTGTTTTTACGTCACTGTGACAGATGTGTTTAGGATTGGGGTGGGGTAGACGTTAATAAAACAATAAATGAGAAATTTTATAAATAATTGAATTAAATCTCGTCAACTTCCAGCCGCAAATGTATCCGATTTAGCAACAACCGTAAGGAACCTATGGTTCGGGAGCCACATGTGTCTCTTTGACCAAAAATATGTGGCTCTCAAGCTGTCTACTCTTTAATAATATTTCAAAATTGTAAAAAATATAACTGTTATTAGAAATCAGTTTCCAAATGAAAATACAATTACAATTGCTTTTATATTGTATTTTTTACAGCAAAATGAATATGAACTCGGTTTACAATAAAAGGACGTTTCAAGCAATGCACATATAGGGTGCTGTGGTTTAACTTGAATCGCGACAACAATAAAGGGCAAGTTATATTTCTTACATTTCTATGGTACATTTCAATGGTAACTTACATCTTTATGGAAACCTCACACATGTAAAGTTCAAACAATTATGAGTGGCAATGGCAAAATAAAATTTAAAAATCTGTAAATTGTAGGGATGTAACAATATTGTAAATACCGTCGTACCGCAATAGTTATTTTTTTCAATATTACCGTAGGCGAATGACTCAATAAAACTATATTTCTGAGAAAAGTTTGCTTAGGCGAATGAAGCGAACGGGAGGTAGCGGGAAACTACAATTCCCATCAGCCTAGGCGTGGCCATTATCCTTTGCAGTCTGTTGTCACTACTGATCCAGTAATGCTGAAATGGAGTGTGTTGCTAGTAGCGGGTATGAAAAAGAGCTGGAAATGATCGAACCTAAAGCGGGTTTTAAATCGGATGTGTGGAAGCATTTCTGTTTCTTTCTAAAAAGATACGAAATAGGAGAAAAGGTGACAGACAAAGAAAAAAACGGTATGCAGGCACTGCCAGACTGTGGTGAAATATAAGTCGGGGAATACGACTAAAAACAGTCATGGGGACTGCAGAATACAGCACACTTGTTAGATTGATGCAGACATTGACTTGTCCCGCAAAGAGACCTCTATCTCACTCATGGCTTGTCCTCTCAAGTGGTGGAAAGACAATGCGCAACGTTACCCACTGCTGTCAACCTTGGCTAATTCATATCTCTCTGTCCCAGAAACCTCAGTCCCAAATGAGAGGTTTTTTTTTCTGTTGCAGGGGACATACCCAGAGATCCCATCTTTTACCAGATTAATTATATGATAATTTTCCTTAAAAACCCATTTCTATCTAAGTGAGTGAGTGAATAAATGTTTAATGTGATTAGTTTTCAACAATGCTAAATTGAAACTTAATTTCTTTAATATTGTTTAATAGTTTTTTGTTATTAAAATTGAAAATTTGAAGTTCCCGTTTCAAAACTTACAGATAGATGGCTAATTTGTATGTCATTAATATGTTCAGTGCTAAGGTAAATAAACACTTTAGGCACTTTTTTCGAGTCTTTTTATTAGTTTTGTTTTTCCTGTAAATTATTCAATAAATACCGTACCGTGCCAATCATACCAAGGTATTATCGTACCGTGAAATTCTGATACTGTTACATCCCTAGTAAATAGTTTTTTCATCATACATTTTGAGGCATCATATTTGTTTATTTGTGAGTTGTGCATGGACAGAAATAAAGGTTTTGTTTACAAATAATTAAAGTTTTTTTTATACACACACACCCTATATGGCTTTTTAAAAAAATACATTTGATAAAACAAATCTGAAATGGCTCTTTGTTAAAAAAAAGGTTCCTGACCCCGTGGACTAGATAATGGCAAATGTATTTCCACACCTGATACAAAAATAGCATACGTAGTAAAATCCTATCGGTGTACATTTTTAAATAAATTATTTGATAAAGTTAAACTTTGTATACATGACAGAAGTCTAAATACTTCATTGCTAATCGACAGCTCTCTAAATGTTAAATAACTATCACATAGTGTGACCAAATAGTTCTTTCAAATGAGACATTAAAATTAGGTCTTGGACTCTCTGTGGTCATTAAAAATCATTTCTCGTAAAGTGTAGGCGTGTAACCAAGTATCCTGGCCAAAATCCCTCTAGCAGCCCTTACCCATCATGACCTTCATCCCCATCCACTGAATTGGCTCTATCTCTCCACTCCGCCTATAGCTGGTGTGTGGTGAGCACACTGGCGCCGCTGTCCTTCGGCTGCCGTCATATCATCCAAGTGGATGCTGCACACTAGTGCTGGTGTGGAGAGACCCCCTCTCATTACTGAAGCACTTTAGGTGTATGGCCAAACACAATAAATGCGCTGTATAAACACACACATTACTTACATACTACATAAATATCTAATCCTTCTGAGGGATTGATCAACTAGTGCATTTAAATGCTTTAAAAACTGCTGGCCTCTCTGAAATCACCTACCCTACCTAAACTCTAATTAATACAATATGCATGTTAATTAACAAGATGAATACTGTAAGAATATTACAATGTAATGAGGGTTGTTTTCATGACAGTCAAATAACATCAGTCTATAAAAAACGCATAAGATCACACTTTTATAGGGGGTTGCATCCTCATGGAAAAGCACAAGTACATTATTTTCATTCACAAAATAAAATTCATCCTCCCATCCATTAAGAAGATCCCGATTCAAACATTTGTAAAATGCATGATGCAAATACTGTTTACTTTATAGCAAAGATAGATCTCATCTTAAGACCTCTTTTATCAGGAGTAACAAGTATTAAATTTGATTTGCCTCTATACATAACACAGTAACCGTTCACTACTATTCTTGCTTTACAACTATGTCCTGCATTGACTGAGGGTGAGTAAATGAACATTTTCATTACTGGGTGAACTATTCTTTTAAAAAGTAAACACAGGCCTTCCTCTTTAATAGACATCTAAACATAGACAGCTTGGCAAAAACTTGGGCTGTCAGTGAAAATCTAATAGACATCTAAGAATAGCCCAAAACTAGACTAGTCATCAAATAGAAAGAGTAGACAGACTTTTTTTGTGTAGTCATTCATTTCCCTTCATTTGATGACTAGTCTAGTTTTGGCCAATTCTTAGACGTCTATTAGATTTTCACTGAAATTTAGATGACTATGTTTAAACGTCTAATAGACATCTGTTAGATATCTTTTAAAAACAAAATAGTGCTTGCTGGGTCTGGTTAAAACACCGCAGTTGTACCTGAAGAAAGTGGATGTTGTTGTCTGTGTGCGAAAGTGTCTCCAGTACTCCTTCTCTCTTCTTCAGATGCGTTATTTCCACCTTTACCTTTTCTTGTAGTTTTCTGCCTTGATCCAGATCAGCCTTTTCTTGAGCTTTTATCTTTTCGGTCATCTCACTGCTTCTTTTCTCAATAAGCTTGACTAAATCAGTGAAGACGTTCTTACTGTTTTCCACTGCTGCCTTCGTAGAATCCTGTGGAGGGAGAAAAGAGCCGTTTGAAAGCTTTAAATTGACTGTTTTGATATTACTATTACCTATTATAACTTACTGAATGAGACATGATGTCTTTTTTCATTTTCTGCAGCTCCTTTTCTTTGGCCTGGATTGTCTGCTTGACTTTTGTTTGAGTGTCTTTAAGTTGCATCTAAGAAATAAAATCCATCAATATGTTTAATCACACTAAAAACATGAATTTGAAAGTTAAGGTTCATTGAAGAAACACAATGCTGGCTATGTTCACCTCTTTCTCCTTGCGCTCTGTTGTGGATGGCACTGTGTCGTGGCCCTTGTGGTCATCCATTAAGCAGTGTGCGCAGACACAGGTCTGGTCGGTTCGACAGTAGACCTCCAGGAGCTTGTCGTGTTTGGAGCAAACTGGGATGGTGGACGCTTTCACCAGCACGTGTTTCTTCAAAGCAGGAACATTATAGTGTGGCTGTACATGTAATTCACAGTAAGATGCTCGACACTCCAAACAAGACTTGACAGCTTTGATGCTTTCTCCAACACAGAAATCACACGCAATCTCTCCAGGTCCCGCAGGACTTTGAGGAGACTCTTTGGCCCTCAAATTATCCATAATCTCAGCAAGGACTGTACTTCTGTTCAGTGGAGGCTTTGAGCTGAAGGTCTGTCTGCACTGTGGACATTTATATGGTCCGTTCTGGTCCTTATTCCAGCACTCATTGATGCAGCTCATGCAGTAACTGTGTCCGCAAGGAATTGTCACCGGATCCTTCAGTAAGTCCAGACACACAGAGCAGCTGTACTGGTCGTTATTTTCGAGTATAATCTCTGCCATGTTTACCAAATACCTGCTAGAAAGACCCATAAAGTGAAAGTAAAACACGAGAGTGGATGCAGGAAATGATACGTCACAGAACATACAAATAGTCGTAAATATGTTACAGAAATGAAAAAATAAAGCGTATTTATGGATAAAATGTAGGCTACAATATTTTGAAGGTGCATCTTAACTGAGTGCAAAATTAAATCGCACATCTTACATTTTTCACCGATTTCTGAAGTGGCTCTTACTATCCCCACAAGATGGAGACAGCTAGTAACGTTATGTGACTACAACACCAACAAATAATCTGTTATAATGTGCAAATCTCACACTATTTAATAGATTATATCAGTCTTGTTCTCTTTTCATTTTCTGACTGGAAAAAAAAAACATTTAGAGTTTATGAACGCAAAGCGTAACGTTTAAATACACAGTGCATGATGGGAAATGTAGTCTTGACGCAATAAGCATGGACCAACGACCGTGGCATGGACACACGTTTGATCAAACAATTTGTGAGATAATTTGTCTTTCATCGCAGATTTTTTTATTTATTCATGCAACATATAGAATAAGAACAAAAATAACTGAAAAATCAGTGTACAGATCCAGAAAAACAAAAGTGTAGTTTTTGACCACATTTTAAATATAAAAGCACAGTTCAAGTTTACTCAGAAGACTTATTTAGCAGCAGTAGCATTTGTGAATGCCAATTAAATATAGAATTAATGACTAAAATCATAACATTTAAAACAGAATAAACAGAACTGTATGCATGTACATTACCCGAGCTGAAACACGTATATCCGTTGATAATACACCAACATTTCATACAGTGATTTACAGAAGATGTTTTACACTACTTTTGTGCATAAGTAGGTTGCAGCCTTCATCAAAATATGCAAATGTGCCATAAACAATTTCATACATTTCATCCCTTTCTATTGTAAACAGATTAAGCAAACATTGATGTTGATGTTTGCATAAGCACATGCCATTATGCCACAGTAGTTTTCACTTTAGACAGTTGTGAAGACACAACCCATTGTTTGCTGCGGCTGTAATGTTGGATATATTGCTCAGTTTCTTGCACAGACTGGTTGTTTTTCTTCATAAGACCCCGATGTTTCATCAGGGGCTTAAATATTTTGTCTTGTCAGACTATGTGGAAGTCCCAGTAGCGCTGGAATTGCATGGATCACAATCACCAATGACCATGACCTTTAATGTACTACTGAGAAAGTTTTAACTGAGAGACCCCAAGAGACCCCAGAATGTAATTGCTGTTGTCATTTACCCACCCTTTACTTTTCCAAAAAAGTTTTACTTTCTTGCTTCTGTTGAACAGAACCTGTAATCATTGACTTCCATAGAATTTATTTTTCTTACTATTTCAATGGGGTATATGCACAGCTAGTGTTTTTCAGCCAATGATACACTTCTGGTGAAAGCTTAATGTAATTATTTTCAGTTTCATAAGGTTTCTTTTACAGCATCAATGTTGTATTGTTATTGCAACACATTCAGTTAAACAGACTTAAGAATTAATTTACTTGTTCAAGCATAAAACAAGATGAAAGAGCGTGTAACCATTAGCGCCGTCAGGATCAGCAGGCTACTGCTGAAACTCTATTGAAAATACTGGGGTAAAATAAACTCATATTTAAAAGACATGGTGGGGTGAAATGGAATTTAATGCAGTGCTTCATGTTTGGTCTAAGGCTCACTATATATTGTATATCTCTCTGGCATTGAAGATCACTGACTTTTAAAGAAAGTCCTTAACCTATAACGTGGCAATCTTATAATGGCAAAAACAGTTAACCGGAAGCCATGAGGCTGGCTGGCAGGCATTAAAAGTCTGTGTGCATATGCCCCATTGTTACAGGTTTCTCTTTGAGGAGGTTTAATTTTAGGTGAACTGTCACTTAAGGTAGGAATTTAAAAAACAAACACTCTTCTTTCTGTCTGCAACACCTTTTCTGTAACAAATGTAAACCTATAATCATACAAATGAGAAACTGATAAAAAAAAACTTTTAGGTTGATTTTTAAAATCCTTAATTAAATACAAAATGTATATAATTTAGCTCTCCTGTGCTCAAAATACCCATATGTAGTGTCTCTCACATCATTTTGTTCACATGACTACAAACACATCAGATGAAGTTTAATCAATCAAAGACTCAAGCAACAGATGAGCAGCAGAGTCCCCAGTCACATCACCAAGATCTAGATGTTGGCATCTATTAACAAACATAGCAAAACTGCATGAGAATTCTTGTTTTATGGTCGTGAACAAAAACTAGATCATTTGTTTTTTTTTTTACTTTTAAGTAACTGACCTGAATCATTTATCAACTCCATCTCGGAGAGAATGCCTTTCCAGCCTTTGTGTGTTGGAAAATCCACGATCACATCCTCAGATTTGATATCTAGACATATTACAAGAAAAGTCTACTTAATATGTGTGCGTGTACGTGTTTTTTTTCTCAAAAGCAACACCATGTACACAAAATTTATATACTATGTATTATTTTCAGAACCAAACTAATTTAGAAGGAAATGAACTACCATTATACATTTAACTAAATTTATACAGAGTTCTTGCCTTTTACTACACCCACACTGCTGTGTGTGACGTATCCACCCCAGTTATGTTTAGGGTTGGTAATGGAAGGTTTCACTCTGACTTTATCTCCAACCTTAATGTCAACTGAAAGACTTCTTGTTGACAAATCTGAAATAAGTAAAATATTACTGAAAGCATTTCCACTTAAAATACAATAGACAGACAGAAAGACAGATGAAAGCTTGAAGGGTTATACCTGAGGCAGTTACAAGTTCCATTTCTGAAACTACACCAGTCCATTTTTTATGTTCAGGAAAATCTACAACAATAGAATCTCCCTGAATTTCTGTACAACAAAAAGAAAATATCAAAATCATAATTAGATCTCCAAATATATGTTATTTTGTCTCGCTTTGAGGTATACAGTGAGCCTACAAAAAACTATTCAGTTCAATATGAAATAAAGCATAAATAGATATCAATATCAATGGTTAGAAACAGTCAGTGCTCCTTACTCAGAACCAAACCAATGCTTTTGTGAGTGACTGCTCCCCATTTGTGTGTTGGAGTAATAACTGATGCCTTTACACGGACTTTGTCTCCAATCTTAATACTGGACAGCATACTTAAAGACCCTGAAATGCAATGCACAAATATCTGAGTGGATGTTCTGCTACTTAAAGGTCATGGACACAATGTAATTACAGTGTGTATATTTACCAGACTCATCATCATTGGTTACTAGCTCCATTTCTGAGAGAATTCCTTTCCAATTGGCATGATCAGGAAAGTCAATGATAAGACTGTCATCAATTTTAATTTCTAAACAGAGAACAAATTTATCATGTAAAGCTCATTCTTGAATAAGAACTGTTGTATGATGGATTATTTAAATGAGGAATAATATTAAAAAACCATCTTGCCTTTTATCACACCAACACTCTTATGAGTGACATTAGATCCCCAGTTATGCATTGGAGTGGTAACAGAAGCTTTCACTCTGACTCGGTCTCCAACCTTCATGTCAGCTGACAAATATGCCGCAAAAAAAAAAAAAAAAAAAAAAAAAACAATACAGTAAGCATTTTCATTTATGATTACACAACATTAATATTTTTATGATAATGTCTTTAAATAAATTCAATTACCTAAACCTGAAGCATTGGCCACAATCTCCATTTCTGAAAGTATACCAGTCCAGTTTTTTTGCTCAGAGAAATCTACAGTTAAAGAGTCCCCCTGAATTTCTGCAAATATAAAACAAATAGTAGAACAAATGCTGCTTTAAATCATGTTTTCTCTAGATATTAGCGTGACTAAACATGGTCACATTTACCAATGACATGCAGAACTGGGCGACACCCAGTTATTCTAATGAAAATTTATAAGGTTAAGTGTTTTACAAAAGTGTTAAAAAGTTTACATTTCACCAAAATTTTCTGCACTGACCAATTGTAAATCAAGTGGTTAAATTGTTGACATGTCACCAAGGTGCCACTAAAAGACATATATTACCCACTAATTTTATTTTGCTGTTATTTTAATCATCTTTCAGCCTTCCAGATGCATAGATAGGTGGAATTTTTCTTTAGCAGAACTGAAAATCTCCTTTAATGTTCTACTGAAGAAAAGTCACCATATTATACACCTTGAATGACCCAAGGAAGAGTGAATAAATTTTTAAGGGGGAAATATCATTCAGTGCTCTTACTTTTAACAATCCCAATGCTTTTGTGAGTGACTGCTCCCCATTTGTGAGCTGGAGTAACAACTGACGGTTTCACACGGACTTTGTCTCCAATCTTAATATTGGAGTCCTGGCTTGCAGATCCTGAAATGATACATGGAGGTTCAAGTTGAGTCTTTGATTATCCTTTTGTTCATCAAACATGACTGAAAACACTTAGTGGAGCAGCTGTTTTAGACGTTTTTGCTGGAGCTGCTGTTTAAAACATTTACCAGATTCATCATCATCATCATCATCATTTGCTAGTTCCATTTCAGATAGAATTCCTTTCCAGTTTGCATGTCCAGGAAAGTCAACAAGCAGACTGTCATCATCTTTAATTGCTGAAGAAAGCAGAAATTCATAATGTAATGCTCATACTTAAGTGAGAAAGTTTTGACTATGGATAATTTGGGAAAGAAAGAAAAAGTAAATATCTTGCCTTTTACCACACCCACACTCTTATGTGTGACGTTTCTACCCCAGTTATGTTCTGGAGTTGTCACTGAAGGTTTCACCTTGACCCTGTCCCCAACCTTAATGTTGACGGAAGCATTTGGTGTTGCCAAATCTAAAACAAGAGAAAATATTACAAACTTCTCATTAGCAATGTAATGTACACTATCCGACAGAAGTCTTGTCATCAATCTCAGCTGTAAGAGCAACAAATAATAACTTGACTTCTAGTTGATAATTTGGAAAAGTGTCAGAAGGTAGATTTTCCAATGAATCATCTGTTAAACTGCATCCTAATCATCACAAATACTGCAGAAGACCTATTGGAAGCCACATGGACCCATGATTCTCACAGAAATCAGTCAAGTTTGGTGAATAATAAAAAATCAAAGCATGACCCTATTTTATTTTGGTAACATAAGTGTAATCTAGAGGCCTTTGCTTTTTATTTAAGCCATTTCGGACACCAAGTGATTAACTAGAAGTCAAGTTATTATTTGTTGTTCCTAAAACTTGGATAGGACACAAGACTTTTGTTAGGTAGTGTAGACTGTGTGATAAATACAGTAGATTACCTGAACCAGCACTGGTCACATTCTCCATTTCTAAAACTACACCAGTCCAGTTTTTTTGTTCAGGGAAATCTACAGTCAAAAACTCGCCCTGAATTTCTGCAGAAGCAAAAATATGAAAGTAAAGTAATTAATCTCTATATTACATTGTTGTTTTATAATTTATTTTAAATGGTAATCTAGGAATTAGATCAGTATCAGTCAGTGCTCTCACTTTTAACAACACCAATGCTTTTGTGAGTAACTGATCCCCATTTGTGTGTTGGAGTAAGAACAGATGGCTTTACACGAACATTGTCTCCAACTTTAATGTCAAATGAAGGCGTCTTTATAGACAAATCTGAAACTGGAAACAAAAGACACCATCTCACCACCAAGAGACACATTTAAAAGATCAGGAAACAATTTAATAATTAATAAGCTTACCTTTATTTATTGTTTGGTTAATTTCCTGCATGCACGTTTTCTCCAGTTTCTTAGTAAGTTCACAAACAAGTTGACTCACTTCCTCAAATGAGCAGCATGGTTGAAATGAGAGATTGCAAAAGTCATTAGATCCAGATGAAGGGGACACAGACTCATAATTCTGTAGGGGTAAAATATTCATTCAATTAATTCAGACACTTTTATGAATGACATGTATTTGTAGTCACAAAGCACTGGTCATTACTAACATATGATCATATTGTTTGTACCTGAAGAAACTGGATGTTGTTGTCTGTCTGTAAAAGATCCTCAAGGACTCCTTCCCTCTTCTTCAGATCAGCAATTTCACCCTTCAGCTTTTCTTGTATTTTTTCACCTTCATCCAGATCAGCCTTTTCTTGAGCTTTTATCTTTTCAATCACCTCACTGCTTTTTTTCTCAATAAGCTTGACTAATTCTGCGAATGCCTTCTTGCTGTTCTTGATGGCCTTCAATGCAGAGTCCTTAGGAAAACCAAAGCAAAAACATTACTTCTTGAGGAAAGTGTCAACATCCCAGTGAATAACCTTACATTAGATTTGATTTAAATATGAACAATTTGGAAACCAAGAATTCACATCGTAACTTACTGAATGGGATGAGATGTCCATTTTCATATTCTGCAGCTCTTTTTCTTTGGCCTGGATTGTCTTTTTGACTTTTGTTTGAGTGTCTGAGAGTTTCAACTAAGAAAAAAAAAACAATCAAGCAGTCATTTTAACTGCAAAAGCATATTATAATCCATTTTTGTCTCATTAAATGAAAAAAATCTGGCCATGTTTACCTCTTTCTCCTTGCGCTCTGTTGTGGATGGCACTGTGTCGTGGCCCTTGTGGTCATCCATTAAGCAGTGTGCGCAGACACAGGTCTGGTCGGTTCGACAGTAGACCTCCAGGAGCTTGTCGTGTTTGGAGCAAACTGGGATGGTGGACGCTTTCACCAGCACGTGTTTCCTCAAAGCAGGAACATTATAGTGTGGCTGTACATGTAATTCACAGTAAGATGCTCGACACTCCATGCAAGACTTGACAGCTTTGATGCTTTCTCCAACACAGAAATCACACGCAATCTCTCCAGGTCCTGCAGGACTTTGAGGAGACTCTTGGGCCCTCAATTTCTCCATAAGCTCAGCAAGGACTGTACTTCTGTTCAGTGGAGGCTTTGAACTAAAGGTATGTCTGCACTGTGGACATTTATATGGTGCTTTCTGGTCCTTATTCCAGCACTCATTGATGCAGCTCATGCAGTAACTGTGTCCGCAAGGAATTGTCACGGGATCCCTCAGTAAGTCCAGACACACAGAGCAGCTGTACTGGTCGTGATCTAGAATAGCTTCTGCCATTTTCGAGTCACTGTCTTGATGTAGTCACTCCAAAAACTTGTATATTAAAAGTTATTTACTTCAGAAAAGTGCGTTATGAAATCTAAAGAGAGTGAAAGTGAAAGCAAAAAACTGGTAAAACGCGTACTGTGGTTAAATAAATTCAATTCTCATATACACAAATGTCACAAACACGGTTTTAAAACTTTAAGCAATAACACTTCGTATTTACCTGATAATTCGTTGTGGGTTTCATGGTAAGGTAGGATCGTGGCAGGAAGCGTTCAAGGAATTCTGACCTTTGGTCTGTTTTATGGCTTAAAATCCTCGTTCAAGGAGCACGTTTTGTACAATTTTATCGCGCGTGAAGCATTTATGTTTAACTTAAAGTTCAAAAAGATAAACTCAGAAAGAGAAAAAAAAAACACTCAGATCAGTTGAGGAAAAACTCGAAACTAAATTCGAGTCTACTGAGTGAACTTGTGCTGCGTTCGGTTTCCTGGGTATATTTCTGTACAACCACTAGATGGAGACACTGAACAGAATGCTCTCTATTCTATTTGTTTTCATGTTATATGATAAATGACACATTCATGTTCTTCCAGAGCTTATAGATTTGTCAAATAATCAAATATGTAAAAATATATATTTATAGCAAATCAATTCATTCATATCAGCATCTGGATACAAATTAATTTGTAACAAGATGTACCAAGTGAGGAAATGAATAAGATGTCACCTGATTTCAGTGGAATATTTGGTGTCGTAAGCACAATGGACCAAAATGAAGTTGTGCAACATACCACAGTTTAGAAAAGGAAAACACTTAGACACAACTTTTCAAAGTCAAACAGGGACTGTCTTTTTTGATGGGACTTTAATCAATTTAAGCCAAAATACATACTGGATACCAACGTGATAGCAACCGGGTGGACAGGGGGGATACGTCCCCCTCGCTTTAAGACAGGGACCATTTAGAAAGAGGTGGTTAATAAGAAAATGAACAGAAAATTTTATATCTCATTCAGCTGCCCCAGCCCAAGACACACACTTCTCAAATGTCCGCTACGCCCCTGCCAACGTGATATTGTTACAGCAATGAAATAACAACACACCTTCTCCACAAAATGTACAACTCTGAAGTATGCTATTGTTTCTTATGAAAGGTAGACACCTTACTGATCTTCCAAACCAAATCAACTAATTACTCACTACAAAACTATCACTGTCCTTTCTTCTTAAATTATTAAACCTTAAATTAATTAAACCAAATTCATTCAAAATGCATGGTCAAACTGCTTTTTGCACTTTCAGTTTTAACTTTCAGTTTTACTGTCTACCCAATGACTAGCCCAGGGGTGCCCAAACTCAGTCCTGGAGGGCCAGTGCCCAGCATAGTTTAGTTCCAACTTCCTTCAACACACCTGCCTGCAGGGACGGGTTGGCCATCTGGCAATTCTGGAAAATGCCAGAAAGGCCAGACCATTTTTAAAATGTGGGCTGGTCAGTTTTTTATTATTATTATTATTAGTTTTTTTTATATGTATTGTTTTTTCATGCAGGCAGCTTTTATCTCTTGCAAGACGGGCCGACCCAATCCAACCTAATCAGAGGTTACGCGGACGTAATTAAAATGTGGCAAGAATGTCAAACAAACAGTAAGTGCACCACAAGCTAATTGTCAGAGATGAACCGTAAAAAAAGGAAAGACTGTGCCGAAAAGCTCAGAGAAAGTAAAAAAAAAAATGGCTCTAAAATCAGACGCTGCCAAATGCATAAAATTAACTGAAATATTCTCGAAAGGGGAAATGCGGTGAAGCAGTGGTTAGCAATATTGCCTCACAGCAAGAAGGTCACTGGTTCGACCCTTAGCTGGGTCAGTTGGCGTTTCTGTGTGGAGTTTGCATGTTCTTCCCGTGTTCGTGTGGGTTTACTTTAAGTGCTCCAGTTTCCACTGTCCAAACACAAGCGCTATAGGGAAATTAGGTAGGCTAAATTGTCCGTAGAGTATGTGTGTGAATGTGTGTTTCCCAAAACACAAGCTGGATAAGTTGCCGGTTCATTTCGCTGTGGCTACCTTAGATTAATAAAGGGACTAAGCCGAAAAGAAAATCAATGAATGAATGAAACGAATGTATGTATAAATATGTTATAAATAGTTTGTTTTTGTTTCACTCACATACATTAAATGTTTAAATATCTATTACATATGGTACAGTAAATGGGCATGTCCGTGGGTGGGTCAGTGTGGTAATGTGGGCTGGCGTGGCGGCTACAGTGCCAGGGTTGATTTTTTTTGTCCCAGTTCGCCCCTGTCTGCCTGGAAGTTTTAGTATAGCTAGAAAGAGCTTGATTAGCTGGTTCAGGTTTATTTAATTGGGGTTGGAACTAACATATGTTGGACACCGGCCCTCCAGGACAGAGTTTGGGCATCCCTGGTGTAGCCTATTATATTTTGATACCGAAACCTCTTAAAAAGAAAGGTAAAAATAAAAGAAAACGTTAAAAATAAATAATCAGTGGTTCTATGAAGTGCCAACACAGACTAATTAATTAAACAAATGCTCTTCACATCACGAAAATAGGTTGCTACTTTAAAGATGTCCTTTATAAAACCATATATGCATGTATAACATGAAAGGAAAATTCCTACATAAATGTAAACACCCCTGACAATCATGAAAATGTTGAAACTAATTTCTGACATTATTCACACTGAATAAAATTAAAAGCTTTCAGATGAAAATGTTGGTTGACCTTCCTCACTATAACATCTAGTAAACACATGATGTTAGTGCAACTGGGAAATGGAGCCGCTAAATATTCAAACGTGCACTTTGTGGAATTATAAATTCGTCCATGTTGATTTGATTTTTCAGATTCCTCAAAAACAAGATGTGCATTGTTGAAGTTGGGGCCCAGGGTTGAATCACAGACGCTTTTGTTCGGGGCTCCCCGTTCCTGCGAGGGCCTGCTGTCGATCAAGATGCAAGCGTCCGCCCCCATCGGCCCTTGCTTTCACTGCTGCAGCTGCTCCTCAGTCTCGCTGCCTGCAATCTGTGCTGGAGAGGCCGACCGAGCAGCAGCTTCACCGCTAAACCCGGCCCACAAAACGCTTATGACGCTCGCCACCAAAGATCACAAATAACACGAGGTAAGTCTAAACGCACTGGGATGTGGGATTTGAGTACAATTTTTACAATACAGTCGCACCGCTTCCGAAGATGTCGATCCGCGATGGTTAAATGCGCGGTCGATTTCGAAAAGCGGCATGTTTGCGGAAGTGGACGTGCGGTCCATGTTTAGCCGCCCCTGTTATTTGCCTTACATATCATGTGTGTGTGTTTCCAAATCTATATTTCACTCTGACGTGCATTTTGCCGACACTGTAAGCGTTTGGAAGGGTGGAAGATGCTGTTTAGGTTGGCCGTAAACGAAGCGAACTAGCCATTGGACCCGTTTGAAAAATCAAAATGGCTTCCATCTTTGTCGTCTCAGCAGAGAGGTTTATACCTTTGTTTCCCCGTCTCGCATGTCAGGGAGTCTGTGAGTAACCTCCTTTTTATATTTATCCAGTGGATTATTCTCCATCGATCTTTCGTGTTAAGAGTCTGGTGTTTGTTTCACTGGTCTTTTATTTATTTTGTTACTTACCCAGTAGCGCACTTTTTGACCACGTCAGTGCGGTGGGGGAGGGGAAGTGAGTCTGTCTGGGTGGAGCCTGTATGATTCGTTCACTGTGGATGAATTTTATCCATTTCCCCCTTCGCTGTAAGTCTGATTTAGTTTAGACTCCAGTTACTGGAAGAATTGTACATATATTTGCTTATTTTCTTCAAATGTATATATATATATATTTTAGTTTTGTGTCTTAATTTGCATTGTAGGACACCAGTTTTCTCAGATTCTTAACTATTTTACCTAATAGCACATGGAAATCACATTTTTTAGATATAGAGTGGTGCAGGAATGATGTATTTATTTTTTAAGCTAACTAGAAATTGTTGACTTTTGGCTTAAAGTAGAAAATAAGCTCAGATTGACAAGTTTTGCTACTATTCTAAAAAATGTACAAGGCACATGTTGTGGCTGTGGGTAACCAGTTAGTCCCCACATTATTTTTCTCCTCTTCCCTCACTTTATTAAATGGTAGTTAAAACGAAGGAAGAAAATATAACATCACAATCCCTATGAAAATTAGCCATAGTTTTATAATAGCAGATATGTAGTAGTCATGTTTTTTGATGTATTGATTACCATTTGTGTTAGGGCTGTGCAATTTAAAATGCTGTGAATAGCTAATCACAAGAGGCTGTGATATGAAATATACAGTTGAAGTCAGAATTATTAGCCCCCCCTTTGAATTACTATTTTTTTTTAATATTACCCAAATGATGTTTAACAGAGCAAGGAAATTTTGACAGTGTGTCTGATTTTTTTTTTCCTCTGGAGAAAGTTTTATTTGTTTTATTTTGGCTAGAATAAAAGCAGTTTTTAAATTTTTTTAATATCCATTTTAAGGTCAAAATTATTAGCGTCTTTATGCTGTATTTTTTTCGATAGTCTACAGAACAAACCATTGTAATACAATAACTTGCCTAATTACCCTAACCTGCCCAATTAACCTAGCTAAGGCTTTTAAAATGCAACTTTAAGCTGTATAGAAGTGTCTTGAACAATATTATTTAATGTACTCATGGCAAAGATAAAATAAATTAGTTATTAGAAATAAGTTGTTAAAACTATTATATGTAGAAATGTGTTGGAAAATAAATCTTCTCTCCTTCAAACTGAAATTGAGGGGAAAAAATAAACAGGGGGGCTAATAATTCTGACTTTAACTGTAAATGTATTATTTCATTTTCCCCGCACAGAGCAAATGCGTGACTGCCGTCTGTTTGCTAGCCAATTGAGTGAGCACACTTTCGTTCTGCCCAATCAGAATTGAGCAACCGAACTATGCGGAACTCTTACAATAAAAAACAAACAGGAAAGCGTGGGCAATTGGGATAATGGCGTATGCCACTTCAGAAGCATTAATAGACAAATAATATTAAATAAAAACAGGACATCTGTTATATAGGAATATTTTGGTTTCAGAAAATATTTAAAAAAAAAAACACAAAAACAGGTAATTTTTAAAAGCTGTCACAGAATTGATGCCACAGTTTACAGATTATTGACTTGACTACAAAACTAAATCGCAATATCTGTCAGAAAAATCGCAATTAGATAATTTCCCCAAATCGCACAGCCCTAATTAGCATAACCACTTTTTTTTTTTCTTTTTTTTTCAGATACCGTAGTTAAAGTATTATTTGTATTTCAAAACCATGGTTAATTTGTGGTCACCATGTTTATCAATATTTAATTTAAAATTATTTGCAGTAAAATCATGGTAATGTTTGTGAGCGCATGATTTAATAAAACCAAGGGGAATAAATGCTTAGTTCATAGAAATATATATTAAATGTAATTTACAAATGAAAATGCTAAAGTGGCAGTGGTAAAAGTCTAGTGTTAGGCTACAATTAAACTACATTGTCATGACCTCAACCTCTTCACAGCAGAATTTTTAACAAATCTTTAAAATAAACTAGTTTTTTAAAGGGGTTATCTAGAACAAAAGGGAAAACCCACTATAGAAGGAGACCAGTGAGCAGATGTGGTTTCCTTATAAACAGCATTAATTGTATTTTTTTGTTAAATGATTAGGATATTACAATGTATTTGATGTTTTAGAATAAAATATGAAAATATTTTTCGAGCTTGTGTAAACGACAGATTTAAAAACCCATCCCAAACGGAACTGAAGACTATAAAATGCTAACTCTGTTCCAGGTTTAGTACACATTCCTGCTCCACTCTATGATTAACTGAATGCAGTGTTGGTGTAAGAAATGTTGGTTGTAGTTTTAGTTGCAGTGGATGTGTGTCAGCTTGCACTCTGGTCTCTTTTTCAACAGTGCTGGGATGTCACCCATGCTTCAGGTAGGCAAACCCCCATGCCCTTAATATATCTGGTTAACAATGTGGTTATGGGTTTAAAGTTCTTGTGTGTGATCTTGGTAACTGTCAAGCAAATCATCTCCATTATGTTAAGTCATCCCTCTTAACATGAAATGACTTTGCAATATATGTGGTGGTTTCTTTTTTTGTGTGCTTGCACTCAATGGATTTGTTGGTTTGCTTGTTTTGCATAGAGTTTGATGTGTAAAATGTAACTCATTACCATTGTTTAGCTATCGTCTTATGTCTTCCCCACCTCTCACCTCCCCACCAGTATTTGACAAATGTAGCTGATCCGAGGTCCCTGTGCTACTCCCCTCCTTGCACCTACCAACACACATGCATACACGCACTTAATCACATACACACTCACAAACACTCAGTCGGTTAAGAGTTGGTGTGATGACAGATAATGTGCTTTGTCATGCTGGTTGGTGTCATGTGTTTTTCCTATACTGGATGCATGTTTGTTACTTTTAGGCTCCTGTAACCCTGGTTGGCTGGCCACGGAGACAGGGAGCCCTCGTCTCAGTACTGTGGCTCTCCACATTAGACTTTCTGTTTGGGGTATCTACTTTCACCTCCATTTTTTTTACACATTCAAAGGCTCGAAGCATAATACCAACATTTTATTAGCTAAATCAGTCATTTTATGTAGATTAGAGTACTTTTAAAACTATTTTAGTTCTTATAATGTCCAAAGATGTACATAAAAAAGACTTGAGATGGCTGTGGATTACACATGAATGCAAGATGTGATCTGTGGCCTTAAAATATTCAGAAGTGTAGGAGTTAATTGTTGATATTACATACATTTTTTTATTAGACTATAGTATTTTATTAGATATAGTTTTTATTAGAAATATAACATTAGTCATTAGATACAGTATGTGATTTAGAATATTATATTATTCTAATATGCAAGTAATTATTATTAATGATTGAACTATTGTTATTGTTATACTATTATTTTCATTGTCATTTGTATCTCCTAGGGAAAATGACACTGGGTTTGCTGTATAATTGTTTGATTGTTGCTGGTTTATGCACTAATGTTTAATATAATTCATAGTCAAAGACACAGCTTTAATTATTATAGTTTTATAATGATTAGTTTTGTAATAGTAAATTGATTTTGAACAAGGAATTTTTAACAAATGTAAAGGAGTTGCATTTAAGATGCCAAGATTACATATATGACCTGACCATCTCTCTCTCCTCTCTTTTCTATAGGCTAACCATGTTCTCCAAGGGCACCAAGCGCAAATTTGCAGATGGTGGTGAAGAGATATCTGACGATGGCTTGGTAGCTGCCAGGGTGGCATCCTCGTACAGCTTGCAGCGGCAATCTCTGCTGGACATGTCCCTCATTAAACTTCAGTTATGCCACATGCTGGTGGAGCCAAACCTCTGCCGCTCGGTTCTCATTGCCAACACAGTCAGACAGATTCAGGAGGAGATGACCCATGATGGCAGCTGGCATATGGTCACCGAAGCGTTCTGCGGTGCAAGCCAGAGCCCATCTGAGCGCTTGGTGGCCACTGAAGTTCTCTGCAGGTCAAGGGAGCCGGATGCAGAACCGAAGCTCTTTTCCGTCATCAGCTATGAGGGTTGCCGTGAAGAGGAGGTGGTAGCTGATGAGACCCTGTGCTCTGTTTCTGTTAGTGATACAGTCTCCAACGTGTGCCTGTCAGGGCGCATGGGTCAGCGGTGGGAGAAGAGTGATGTAGAGAGGGAGGAAGAGGCACTTGAAGACTCTAGACTTGGTTCAGGAGATGACGACGAGGAGATTGACACAGAGGATGAGTCTACACCGGAGGGTCCGAAGACCATTGGACAGGTTTTTGGGACATTTGAAATAAAAAACGGTTCCCCAGGTCCAGACTCTGCTCTCGAAGAGCTATTCTCAGATGTCGACACATCCTACTATGATCTGGACACCATGTTGACCGGCATGCAGAGCGCACCCAAAATGGGCCCTTATGACCTCCTTGACAGTTTGGCACCTTCACATAGTTCCCCTTCCATTGTTTCAACGCCGAACTGTCGTTCGGATCTCAATGAACTGGATCACATAATGGAAATCATTGTGGGTTCTTAGGTTCGACCTTTTTCAGAAACTTACACGCTTGTCTTAATGTTACTGCCTTTTCTGTTCCTTATGGAAAGCAAGTAAAGTCTGGAGTCCTTTCAGGGAAAAGAGTTGTCTTGTGAAGGATGGCCTTGATTTTTATGAGCTGACCATAGTCATCTTATTTGCATACCCTTTGTATGTTTTAATGATTTTTTCTGTATTTGTCTGTCCAGACAATTTTTTTTTAAATTTAATTTATTTGTTATACTCGTAACACTACAGAGAGCAGAACAAGATGTATACAAATGTTGTTAAGCTTGGGATATTTTCATAAGGAGACAAAAGATTGTCTAAATTGTGTATATAAATATATTTTTACAATAGATTTTTCTTGTAATATGTTCCTGTACATTATGTACATGTCCTACAAATTGATTTTAAATGAAGAGATTAGATTCTTACGTGCAACAACGTTTCTGTTTATAAAAATCCATAAACCGAAGGAACTTAATTCAATACTACAATACACACAAGGCACCAAGTATACATACAGTGATGCATGTTTTACGTTCATGTGCTCATTTGCACAAAGTATTTTTGTTTTCCTTTCAAGGTTTGATTGCAGTTGGCTGTCAATCAGCTCAGCCGTAGGTTTTGTTTGTTGTTAGGCGTCAAAGTTCTTCTATTTTGTCTTATCAACAAATGAAGTATAATGGGGCCAACCCATTCTATATTGTGACTTAATTTATTTAATTTATTTACTTCAAATGGTGAGTGTTGGCTGTGGTCAAACTCAGGGTGGCTTTTTAATTCTAGAGGATTTAATAGGTCCGATTCACCAAAGCCTTTTGCTCATAGCAAATCGATCACAGAATTAATCCTTCTGGTGATTTGCACCAATTATTGCTATAAGTATTGATTTTTTTTTTTTTTTTTTAAATAAGTTAACTGTTTAAATATGGGTGAATGGCTCATGGATTTCTATTAGTCCTCTAGACCCCTCATAATGAGAAGGCATTTGTCTAGTTCTATGCATTGCGTGTTGTTACACACTATGTATGAAGTGTTTAAAATGCATTTAGTACAGTATTCTTTTTTTATACTTCAGAATCAGTCAAGAGATGGTTTTATTTTACTTAACATTTCCCCCAGTTGTTACATATATATTTGGTTGTTTAAAGTCAATTTTTGCATAAACTATGTTTGTGCAAGTTATAGGTTATTACACTTTGATAATTGTTTTCTTCTTTGTCTCACACTTAAATTTTAAGAGGATGTTTTCTATTGTATGATCTTAAACTAGTATAGAGTATAAACATTTTATATGAGCATTGTAGCTTTTTTAACATTTTTTAATAAAAGGTACAACTTATGACATTTATATTGTGCATTTGTTTTTTCCCTTATCATTTATAAATGTCAGTAGATAACGAGGGATGACATGGTGGCTAAGTGGAAAGCACTGTCACCTCACAGCAAGAAGGTCGCTGGTTTGAGTCCTGGCTGAGTTAGTTGGCAATTCTGTGTGGAGTTAGCATGTTTTCACCATGTTGGCGGGTGTTCCATCTTTTCCCACAGTCCAAAGACATGAGCTATAGGTGAATTGAATAAACTAAATTGGCCGTAGTGTATGAGTGTTTTTCAGTAATGGGATTCAGCTGGAAGGGCATCTGCTGTGTAAAACATATCCTGGATTAGTTGGCAGTTCATTCCGCTGTGAAGGAAAATAAATAAATGGGTAGACACTAAGAGCAACAGGAAAGTTTTTGGGTGGGAAGAATTAAGAAATAAAATAGTTTGTGTCAATATTTTTTTACTAAACTGTTCCTAATATATAATTTAGGATAAGTAATAGAGTGAAATGTATATGACTTGTTTATAATTGAGTTCTGCATGTCTAAAAAGGTCTTCAAACTAAAATTCCGTTTTTTAAAGCGCCTTACTTTACAAAGTGATAGTGCTAAATGTTGCATGCACTGCATAAGAAAAGTCTTTCTGACACAAATATATAAATTGTTAAAAATCAAGATACTTTTATGTGTAAAATTAAAACAACTGATCATGTTTCCTGAGGAATTGGGAAAAAGGTTATAGAGTTCATGCCTTTAAGTCATAATTTTGATTTTGCTAACGTTTTGCTATCTAAATTTAGGAAATGTTTGCACTTGAACAACATTTGCACTTAAAAATAATACAAAGATCTGAGAACATTCAGAGAACTTATTGATAAGTTCTTACTGTATGGCTACTTTAATCTATTAGCTTTAGGTCTTTAATCATTAAAGAGTAAAGTACAGCAAAAAATAGCGAGGGTACTCGATCCGTTCAAGGGCAAGAAAAATATTGTCAACCATGCCTTCGCATCTAAGCGAGTAAACGTACAGTAAATCATCCACGCTTCAGATCAACGTCACGGTTTTATCCTGTACATACTGCGTTCTCGCGCACGTGACGTCAGCAGATGTGACTCAGTGAACGTCAATGTTTAAATCCCTCCGCTCGCGCGCAGATATTATTAGGTTATATATCAGAAAGTGTGTATTCTCCAACCCACATAGTTGCAAGAAGGCGTTGTAATAATGTATTAGACTCAACAAAAAATCAACTTTGCAAAGCATCATTTTTGGGAAATTGTTTAATAAATATAAATGTATATTATTCAGATATATAGTTTAGCTTTCCTCTAATCAGAAGGGAAATTATTGTGGTCTGCTTGTCTAAAAAAAAATAAATAAATATATACAAACGTGCCATTACAGTGTGCCCAAGTCCCTTATCCGGCGATCCAAACGGTCACGTTTTAGGTCTGTGGGCATGTTGAAGGGACGAATCTGATGGACTGGAGAGGCGGGGGCAGAACACGCTTCCACCAATCAGGAGCAGTTACTAGGCGGGTCTGAGAACGAGTTCGACCAATCACAACAATCCCACCTGACGACCGTCAATCAGCTGAGATCTTTCCCGTTCATTCTACAGTGTAGCGACAGTTCAGCTCGTGTCGGCGGTTGAGACGCGATCCGTCGCGTAGTTTTGCGTAAAATAATGTTAAGACTTTGGACTAGAAGCTCAACACGGAGTTCAGTGACCGGTTTAAACAATCGCATGTCTTATCAGTCAAGAGAATGTAGCCGTCATTCGAGGATCCTGAGTAAATTAATTTCGTAGATGCATACAGAGAGAGACCGTACTTTACCAAGTACGAACTGGCTAACTGGCTAATTCATTGCGCATCTCTGCGAGCTTAGCCGCGGAAGCTAGCGGCGAGCGCTCACGTTTTGCCAGAGTAGTTGGTAATAATAAACGCTAAACAACAAAGCAACTGGTAGAGCCAAACATAATGGTATGGGTCAAAGGGATATCACAGCGTTCGAGGCGTCCATGAAAAGAAAAAAAGGAATCCCCACCGTCTCTATGTGTCGACTGGATGTGGAGTCCGCTGTTGTGAAGAAGGAAGTTGAGCCCGGCGGACGAGATGGTGCTCTTTCCTCGTCAAGGTAAAGTCTTTTTAACCTGAAACTGTTTACCGGATTATATTTAAAGAGTCGATAGTAGTATGCATTCGTTTGGGTATCGTTTAAATAATTTTCTAACGTTATCTTAGCGCTGTTCAGCACTGTACCGTTTTACGTAACAACTCGAGTTTACGTTGGTGATACTTGAGCTTGTGTCGCCGTCCTCGTTAGTTTCTTCATAACAACTGCTAGCAAAGTGATTCATACTAGTTTTAGTATTAAGATCACCATGCTTGAACAAATAAAACTTTAGCACCTCGAGTTTTCCCGGTGGGTCGTGCGTGGTCTCGGTTGCGTAACGGGTCGATTTTCTACACTGATGTTTGGACTCGACTAACGTACACTCGAAATGCGACAGTTTATAACACTTTTTTATTGAATATAATAAAATAAAACCAAGTTTTTGGATCAAATGCATTTCCCAAAACTGTTACTAAGCAAGAAATAGCGAAATTCGAAAGTGCCCGAATGCACTTAAAGAGCTTTCAGTTTTACTTAAGTTTCTTACTGAAGGATGTGTAATTATGCACAAACCTTGTATTAGTTGCTTTTTTAATCGTAGTTTTAAATGCAAAACATAAACTTAAGTGTGGTTTCAGTTTAAGCAGTTTTTATCGAAACCTAGTGTGTAGTTTACAGAAAAATAAACCAGCATGTGAAGTATCAGAAATGATAAAAGGTTGAATTGTTTGCCTAATGATATTACAAAGAAAAATAAAGTGTAGATTAATAGCTGCCACTAATGTTTTCCATCAAACTTTGCTTGTTTGTAATATGTATTTGAGTGCTTGAGCCATGCTATATGCTGCAGAAACACTGCGAGCAAGTCATTGTGCACAAATCTATCCTTCTGGTGTTTCTGAGTTGTTGAAGCTTTTAGTTAACCAAGAAACTTCAAAAGCGGTCAGTTTTTTTGTTTTTTTGTCTTCGTAAAGCAAATGCCTTGTTAAAATGTTCAGATCTTTTCACTTTAGCATTAAATTTTTTTGTAAGCAACTTATCTTTTGACCATTGCACAAGAGTTTTCTGCAAGTTTTTCAGATACATTTACCCAAACAAAATCTCTGAAATTTGAGTAAAGTGAAGTTTCCCAACTGACTCAAAGACTTGCACTACTGATGAGACAAATAACTACACGAGACTGTGTTCACGTCTGTCAGCGTGACTAACACCCTGGCCTGAGTCACTTCGTTACTCTGTTGGAGCCGCCCAGTTACAAAGCTGCCCAAACTAAGACATCCGGCTGGACTACCCAATGCTTCATTATTCAAGACTTAGTCAGCTAGTCAATGGCATTTGCCACCTACTCCCTCCCTCCTACTTGCAGTCAATCCACTGTTTGCTTTCATACACTCCTCATCAATCTTTCTCCTCCCGTTTTTTCTTGTTGACTAACTTTTTCTGGTGCTTCTGTTTTCTCTTGCTCATATAGACCCATTTCAGTGTGGTCATGTTATTGGCCCATGCACATTTCCTGCTTGTTGTTAAACAAATGATTATATAATAGCAACATGGTGAAATTCAATCAAAACCTAATGCTAAAACAGCTATCATAACATTATTTATCAATATTTAGCTCCTTTTGGATTCTCGAAAGCTATAGAAATATTAAAAAGGAAAAAAAGGAAATACGTTGGGATCGCTGGTTTTGTTTACATCCCTCAAAATGGTCTACACACCATATTTCTTTCTCGCATACTTTTTCCTGCTGTTGTCTTCATTGTGATGGCAATTTTGGTCAGACTTAGATGAAAGCTGTTTAGATGGAAAAGGGACTCAACCATGTCAGTTCTGTTTACTCTCATACAAGGACTTTTCATAGCTTAGGTCAGTATATGAGTTAAAGCAACTCTTATCTTCTTTTGGGCACAGAGTGTGACTAGAGACCAATTCAATGTTGTCTCTGTCACTTTTCAGTCTTCTGTTTCATTTATTTATTTAGGTACTAACCACAGAGTGATAAAATATGAAGTCCTTATCTTTACCTTTAGTGAAACTTGAAAGCTCTTTGTGTGACACAAGGCTGCTATTCATTTATGCTTTGGGATGTTGCTGTAAAATGAAGGCAGCAAAATACTTCTTACTGACACTTAGATCTTCAGCCATAATTTCATGAGAAAATAAAAGCTAGCTTGATGTGGTCAGTCCTTTTAAATTTAATCTTAATAATTGTGCTAATTAGTCATGGGACAATAACAGTTTAAAGGTATACTGCGGTTAGGAAAAGTCAATGTTTTAAAACGGCACAAATTTTCTGCTATACTATTCCTACGATATTTTTAAAAATTTTAATTCGTTTTGTTTTTTTAAACGACAGAATCTTCAGCAGAAAAGATATCCATTGATGCTGTTTTAAATTGTAAATAAATCTGTGTTTTTAAAACTAATAAAGATAGCAGAAGTCAATGATTTATTTGAGTTATTTAGCCTGACATGTTTACTGCTCTGAAGTACTTTTATATATATTTTTTTAGAAACATTTATTGTGTTCACGGGGGAAAAAAGTTTTTCGTTTTTTACACAAACATTAAAAAAATAACGTATTTTAAAGCAGTAATCACAAAACTGTGAACTGTGATGTGTTTATCCAAGGTTATTATACCACGAGAATCTTATACCAGTTCATGTCTAGTACTAATCAGAAAATGTCAAGAAATCAAAAAAAAAAAAAAAGAAATTTAAAGACAAAGGAAGATGTTTTAAAATTCTAAAGCAAAATTAAGTCAGGTAAAGTGATCACAAAAGATGCATATGGCCAGGTGATATTAACTTGACATTCCAGAGAGTCCAGGGATTAAAAAATTAGCAGTGTCGTAATTTTTAAGTCAAAATCATTATAAAAGTGAAGCAAAGTTTGTTATTAACAGAATTAGTCAGTACATTTCCAATTAGTGATGGGACAATAATTGTTTTCAAGGGATGTTGCAGTTTGGAAATGTCGAAGCTTAAAAACCGTCAACATTTTTGTTGTACCGTTCCTGTGGTATATGTAAGATTTTATTTTTATTAATTAATTTTTTTTTACGTTTTTAAGGACAACATTATCTCCAGCAGAAAATATATCCAAAGATGCTGTTTTAAAATGTAAAGCAATCTGTGTTTTTGAAACAAATGAAGGCCGCAGAAGTCAATGATTCATTTAAATTATTTAGCCTGACATGTTTACTGCTCCAAAATAATATAGAATATTTCTAAAATAAAATATATTATGTTCAAAGGGTAAAAGTTCTTATTTTTCACTTAAACATTTTTAAAGAACATATTTTAGAGCAGTAATCACAAAACTGTGAAACCATGATATTTTTATCGAAGGTTATCACACGGTCAGAATCATATACTGGCCTATGCCTATTTCCAATAAATAGTCTATCATAATTATAGCTTTATTAATTAGCAATACATGTTTTATATTATTTGTTTATTATTAAATGATTTTCATATTCAAATTGTCATTTTTTTATTTAGTAAATAACTAACATCTAGTTTTAGGAAGAAATTAATTACAATCTATTCATAAAAACAGCATAAAAAAACAGCATTGGTTGATCTCCGCTTTGTGTTGTATTCCCATGGTGGGACTTTCCATGGCGGGCCTCACTTCTGTGTTACCACTAGGTAAAAAAAATAAATAAATAAAAAACCTGAAGTACCATCAAGTATGAGTGCAGACATGAACTGATGCAACGCAGCATACTCGACTGCAATGCTGCCTCTTCTATGGTTCCTATTGTGTTCTCCCACTTTGATGGTCGTCTCCATAGTTGTGCTTATTGTCTTTGAGCTGCAGACTCTGTGCCACTCATGCGCCAGCCTCTCATCCACCGCTGTTGCCATGGCAAGCAGACCACAGAGGCCAGTCTAACCAGAGGGGCCCAATTTAAATCATGCCTTGTTGCTTTAAAGCTGCGATACTTTATAGAGACCAAGTCACATTCCAAGTTGTTCAGCTTGTCTTTAGAAATCTAATACTGATGCTGAAGATTCAGCCACTATGAGCTTTATCTCAGGCTTTAACACTTGATTGAACTTGGACTGAATATGAAGTCTTCCACATCATATTCTTCTGGATAATATAGTTTTTTTCCATGGTGTCTTGCTTGCTCGCTTTCCATTTATAGCTTTCTGTTGCTGACAGAGACAGGCTGCAGACCCTCTTCCAAGCCTACGTCTACTCCTGCTGGAATTCAGCTGTGAAATCTGCAGGAATACAAAATGTCCCTTTTGAAGCCTTGTGACTGCTTTGTGGGAAAGGCACCTATTGGGCTGAGCAGGAGCGAGCCTTCGGTGCTCTGCTAGCGTAGATGGTTATATAACCGGTAGCTCCACCGTGACACACTTGAGCGCTGCAGCCCATGCATGCGCGCGCACACATTCATGCTGTTTGCTGGCATTGAAAGTGATCATTTAAAACACTTTTGACACAAATGGTGTCACAAATATGCTCTTCCTTGCTTTTTTCATTCAAGCCGTTTTCAAGGTTCATTACTGGCTGTGCTATCAATAACCTAAACTATAGTCTACATGGTGGGATGGAGACTATGCAATGAAACGCATCCGTTTTACTTGTGAACACAAGAGTTACTTCTTGGCTTCTGTAGTAGAGAAGAGCAGTCAGTGACCAGACCTGCAGGGGATTTCTGCATTCGTTTGGTGAGATGGATGATGGGGAGGGGGAGCGTACACCATAGAAAGTGCAGAGGTGAATAGACAGTCTCATATTTACAGCACTTTTCACTCCAGCCCTCCAGATCTGAGACAGCTAGCTGTCAGAGCAGTTATAGTCGGGATTCAAATCATGTGTCCACAAGCCACATTTTTGCTCTTGTTTGTACATAAATGCGAGGCCTAAACAAAACTTGAGGTTTGAGGAATATTGAGCTTTGATTGTGGGATTACACATCTTTAATAGCCTTTCTTTTTTCATTCATTCATTTTCTTTTTGGGTAAGTCCCTTTATTCATCTGGGGTCGCCACAGCAGAAT